ACATCAGAGACAGTGCATATGAAAGATGTTCAACTTTCTCTCCTGCCGTGCGTAGAGGGTCCAAGACTCACTGCAGTACAAGCATGTGCTCAGGACGCAGGTTTATAGACCTGGATCTTTGTATGTTCCGTCAGCTTCTTTTTAAGCCATACTCTCTTTGTAAGTCTGGAAAATGTGGTGGCCGCTTTACCAATATGTTTATTCAGCTCAGTATCTAAAGAGAGAGTGTCAGAGATAGTTGAACCGAGATACACAAAGTCATGGATGACCTCCAGTTCTTGTGCAGAGATTGTAATACAGGGAGGTGAATCCATGTCCTGACCCATGACTTGTGTTTTGTTCAGGCTGATTGTTAGTCCAATCAGGCAGGCCTTGCTAAAACTGTCCATAAGTTGTTGAAGGTCTTCAGCAGAGTGAGCAGTGACGTATTGCAGTGACATAGCAGTGAGTGAGCAGTGATGTAAATGCTCAGATAACTGAGCATTTAGTTAGAAAAAAGGTTTCAATGTTTTGAGATAAATGAATGGATTTGTAGATGGTGTCCATTTGTATGTACATAGAGAAAAGTATACAGGATAAGATGATGTCATATTCTGAACGTTATAGGTATTTGTTTAGCAGTGTTGTGTGGTATGAAGAACAAGACAATGTCCACTTTCACTCTTGCTTTTTAATATCTGAGTTGAACCTTTGGGTTGTGCTATTAGACAACATAGAGAGGTCTTAGGAGAAGTATATAACTTGGTTGAACAGATTGGTTTTGTTTAATGTTATTCTTTAGTTTATTTCTAAACTTCACATGGTCTTTTTTTAAAAATATTTTTTTTAATTTTAAATACATATAATACAAACTACATATACATCTACATACAAAAAAAGGAAAAAAGTTACAAATATTACAGTGCACCCCCACCTCCGGAGACCACTTTTTTTTTCTTATATTTCTTCTATAATAACTAAAAGATATACAATATATTCCAATTATGCCCTTATCCCCTCCAAAACAACATATATTCTTGAGTAGGTGTATTCCCTTTGTCTTCTACCAACACTGTTTTTATAAAATCTCTCCATATTTCATAATTGTTTATTTTAATCATCCCTTTTTTAAATTTAATTTCTTTTAATTTATTTGTTGCCATACTCCAAATTTCATTATACCACTCATTTCTTTGAATATCCCAATTTCGTCCCCAATATTTAGCCATTAGTAATCTAGCTGCCATTATCAAATTTATAATCAATTCCTTTTTTTTTTCATTTATATCCTGGTTTTTCACCAGCAACAGTAATGTAATTCTCGGTGACATATCTAAATTTATATTCAAAAGTGCTCTAATTTCTCTAAATACCATGTCCCATATTTTTGTGCAGTATCACAATCCCACCACATATGTTTATATGTTCCAATCTCTTTCTTGCACCTTCAACAAATATTTGTATGTTTACCATCTATTTGATTTAATTTACGTGGCGTTAGGTACCACCTTCATATCACTTTATATCCATTTTCCTTAACTCTGACATATTCTTATATACTCTTCTATTCCAAATATTTTTCCAATTATTATCATTTATTTCTCCTAAATCTGATTCCCAAATTAATTTTAAACCTTTTGCCTGCTCTTCTAATTCAGTTAATATTCTATATATTTTCCCAATTCTTTACCTATCGTGTTTCCCTGAAAATATGACATGTCCCGAAAATTAGGCCAAGCCTGATTTTTGGGGTGGGCGTATACACCCTCCCCCGAAAATAAGCCCTAGTGACAGGGTGGGTGTGGCCAGCACAGGAGGCACCCCTTCCCTTCCCTGGTCACCTCAGGGCTTCTTGGCCCTTTAATCAGATCAGCTGAACTTTGGCCGCCATTCACAAAACAGCTGATTTGCGGGTGCTGCTCAGGCCGCCGCCTCCAATTGTGGCTGCAAAAGAAGCCGGAGGCCAAGCAATGCACGCCACACGCCTCGCACCCTCCTTAACTATGACAGTCACAGCAGGCAATTCCATCCACAGAACAGGAAAGGAAGGCATTGAAATCCATACACCTGGGACATCGGAAGAAGCCCTTTGAGGAGACGCCGCTGCCGATGTGCAGAAAATGTCCCCCCTGCCCACCTGTAGATTGTCCTTTCAAAGAGGAGTTTCACCAGGATGAAGAGGTGGCTGGAGGCAGCATTTGCATTGGGTTGGGCTTTCTTCGCAAGGGGGATGATCTGGGGAGTGAGAGATTTAGGAAGCCTGGGCTGGCGTGGGGCAGTTTCTCCAGTGAAGCATCTGATTTATCCCCAGGGGTGAGCGTCTTGTGGGCTGGCCGGAGAGGGAGTGTCTTCGCTGAGCTTTGAAACAGGGTGAGAGGCAGGAAAACCTTTCCTCCCCATTTTCAAGCTGTTTGCAAAAACGCCCCATTCTGAGCCTTCAGCATATTCCAGTATTGCAACATTGAAGGCTCGGAATGGAGCGTTTTTGCAAACAGCTTGAAAATGGGGAGGGGGATTTTGCCTGTGTGCTGAGCTTCAGAACAGGGTGAGAGGCAGGAAAGCAAAATAGTAGGATATTCTAGTCCAAATCAGAATTGATGCCAATAGGTCAAAAATTGGATTACGCATCCATTTAATATTAATTTGGTATTTGAATCAAATCAATTAAATATTTAGGTATGTATATACCAAAGGATATTTCTCAATAACATATTGTAATATAAATAAAACAGAGCCGTTTCTTCAGATATTGATAGATGGGAGTCATTAAATCTTTGGGGAAAGGTAACCCTCCAAAATGGACATTATTCCCAGATTAATTTACATTCTGAGTTGAATTCTAATTTATATACTGTATCTGGAAAATATTTTCAGAAAATAAATTCTTTGTTTAGAAAATTTCTATGGAATTCTTTGATTCTAAGAATATTTTTACCAAAATTGCAACCACCAATTAATGCAGAAAGAGTTGTTTTTCGAGATCTAGAACTACATCATTACATTTACCTATTGTCTGTTATTACATACTGGAAGCCAGCAATTGGTGTTAATTTTCCAATTTGTGCAACTTTGTAATATGCACATATATCACTTTTGGCTGGATGGATAGTATTAAGATCTATAAATACTAAAACTGTACTATCTCTGGAAACAATTACATCAGTTAGAAAGTTATGGAATATGATGTCTAATAAAAAAGTGATTTGATGCTCCTAACCAAGGACTCCCTCTGCTTCCCACTTAAAGCCCCTTTCATGTGGAGTTATGACAAGCAACTCGGATTGCCTGAATTGCTGTCACAAAATAATGCAGTCAGATGACATTGTGTAATTTACGACTGCATCACTTAGCCAAGGAAATTCTGGTCCCAATAGGACTATCTGTATGGAAAAAAAATTGAGTGCAGTGGGATAGGGTTTGTGTAGTAAAATAAGTTATGGGATCAAGAATGAATGTGGACTAAATAAATACAGACTGAAAACAAAAGTTAGTGACCAGCATGAAAGAAATATATTGACATGGTTTGATCATATTGTACACAAAATAAATATATGAAAAAAAGAGTGAATATATCTAGAGGAAGATGGTCAAAAAATCTGAGGTTAGATGAGGTAAGATTGAGAAATTTAAAGAACTCAAAGCATTAAATAAAGAATATATAAATGTAATTTCCAAAGAGTGTTTTTGAAATATAGAAAGGGTGATAATATGTCATTTATTAATTAATGACTAAGAAATTCACTTTAGTATTATTTAGTTTCAACATAATTGCATTGTTTATTAGAATGAAAGTACCACTTTTTGTGTATTGTTGATGCACTTTAAAAATGAAATTTTATTACTAAATTGTACACTGAAAAATGTGAATTCTGCAACTTGCATAAATTATATTGACTATTTCCTAATGTGATTTGATTGCTTATTTGTTCCCTATGACTATCATTAAGTGTTGTACCTTATGATTCTTGATGAATGTATCTTTTCTTTTATGTACACTGAGAGCATATACACCAAGACAAATTCCTTGTGTGTCCAATCACACTTGGCCAATAAAGAATTCTATTCTATTCTAATCTATTACAAGTCGTTCATGTTTGGGACCAGCAACTCATTTGTTAAGCAAAGAAGTTGCTAGTGGAACCACAACTGTGCTTATGTTTTCACATCAGTTTTCCATTGCTTTACAGATCTGCAAAAGTTGTAAATGTGAGAATTGGTCATAGGATTACATTTTCATTACCATCATAACTGCAAATGGTCACTAAATGAGGCAGTCATTAAACAAGGTTGCATTGCACTTTGCTGCCCGTGTCATCCACAGCTGACCTTCGCAGTTTGCTGCTGCTGCTGACAAGGCACATAATCAGGCCTTGCCTTTTGGGAAGCAGTTACTAGCCACATGCGACATCAGGAAGAAGGCCTTGCATGGCCAGCAGCTTCCTTGCAAAGGACCAGGCCAGGCACGTCTAGTCAGCACTGGGAGTTGGAGGTTGCAGAATACAGGGAGACAGGGCAGAGATGGGAGGGGGGGAGATAAGAGGGTGTGAGGAGTTGAAGGCCCCCTGTGGTCATAAATGCAGGTGGGCTGCCAAGCACCCAAATGTTGATAATGTGACCAAAGGGGCACTGCAGCAGCCATAACTTCAAGGATTGGTCATGAATACTTTTGCTCAAATAAATTTTTATTAGAAAATAAACCATTAACTACATGACCTAGCATGTAGTTTGCATACACTTTAGTGTGGTTTAATAAGGGTCAGGGAGGCAACTTTATAACTCTTTTCTTAAAAAAAAAAAAGCTAATAGAATAGTTTTCTTGTAAAAAGATTGAGCAATATAAAGTGATTATAATATTTTGTTCAGCAGAGAAAATTTTTTGATCAATCATGAGAAAGCAATATAAGTCACTGTACTGTGTATACCATTTATTCTGTCTTTTGTATAAAATAGATGAATTTTTCAGTAATATTTCACATAAAATCTCCATTAGCTAATTTTATTTTTTTCTGTTTACTTTTTAGGTTATATTTCACACTATGTGCTGACTGTCTGTACTTACAGAAACTATTAAAAACAGGTTTTTTTTTCAAAATAAATTTGATTCCAGTGGAATCTGCTTTAGATTTTGTCTTGTGAAGTAACTCCTAAAGCAATGCCTGTACAAGCTCCACAATGGACGGATTTTCTCTCCTGCCCTATTTGCACACAAACATTCGACGAAACGATCCGGAAACCCATCAGTCTAGGTTGTGGCCACACAGTCTGCAAGATGTGCCTGAACAAGCTCCATCGGAAAGCATGTCCTTTCGACCAGACCACTATCAATACAGACATAGAACATCTTCCTGTGAATTCAGCTTTGCTGCAGCTTGTGGGTGCTCAAGTAAGGGAATGTTTCCTTAGTTTCCTGCTTTAGATTTTTTTTTAACTAGTTGTCATTTTTTTCATCAAATAAGCAACTGTATTTTTTAAAAATCTCAGAAAAAGTAAATAATGAACAAATGTAATAAACCATAACATTTTCAGGTATATAAATCATCACCTGGCTAAGGAAAGAGTTTCCTAAAGTCCCCAAGTTTCATTGTAGGGTGCCTAGCCCTAGGCAATCACTTAATAGTTTTACTATGTTAAATAAATGTGAAACCCATGTGAAAAAAGCTTGTTTAAATTGTACACCATTAACCAATCTGCTGTTGGGAATCCAGCAAATTTGTTTTGTAGTTTTGAAAACATTGTATTCTGTCTTGAATGTGTTTGTGTATAAAATACTATAGAATCACAATTTTTTTCTTTTTGTAATGTTACAAAAAGAAAAAAAAATGTGATTCTATACCAGTGATGGCTAACCTTTTTGCCATTGCGTGCCAGGAGAGGGGGGGTGGGGGAGGGTCACGTGGGCACGTGCCCACGCGCATGCGTGCACAACCCCCTCCCCTCCCCCAGCTCCTGGCACATGATGGCCTGGTAGGCCCGTTTTTCTTTCTTACCTGGTTCCAGATCCTCTCTGTGTATCTGGGAAGGGCGAAAACAGCCTTTCCCACTCCCTTGGAGGCCCTACGGAGGCTGAAAGGGCCCATTTCCCAACTCTCGGTGGGACAGGAAATGACATTTTTTGCTGTCCCCAGCCTCCAGAACCTCTCTAGGAGCCTCTCTAGGAGAATCTAGGAGCCTCTCAGAGTCTCTGGAGGCTGGGGACAGGAAAAAACGTCACTTCCTGTCCCACTGGGAGTCGGGAAATGGGCCCTTTCAACCTCCGTAGGGCCTCCAAGGGAGTGGGAAAGGCTCTTTTCGCCCTTCCCAGATACACAGAGAGGATCTGGAGCCAGGTAAGAAAAAAAAATGGGCCTTCCCCACCCCGCCCCCAGGCCCTCCAGAGGTAGGAAACAGCCTGTTTCCCTACTTCTGGTGGGCCCAGAAGGCCCGAAAATCAGCTGGCAGGCGCGCGCATGCGCCCCAGAGCTGAGCTGGCGTGCTCACTAATATGGCTCCGCGTGCCACCTGTGGCACGCGTGCCATAGGTTCTCCATCATGGTTCTATACTATTCAATAACTGCTCTGTCTTGTTCAAGACAGGAATAGACAATGAAAAGTGAGGAACTGTGTATTAGTTTTGCAGATATAGGTGGGAGAAATAAAAACATGAAAGTAGCCATTTCTTAACATATTTGTTGTATTCTTATGTTTTCTATAGATGCCAGAACAGCAACCAATAACTCTACGCAGTGGTGCTGAAGATACTAAACATTATGAGGAAGCCAGGAAATGCGTGGAAGAATTAGCCTTATACCTTAAACCGCTCAGCAGTGCAAGAGGTGAACCATGCTTGTCATCCTTTTTCCATGTTTTGGTGACAACATGTGTAAAGAATGTCCAATTAAGAAAAAAAGTGCAAGTAATTTGAAAAACATGTAAAAAAAAATTACCCACCGTGCTTTCTTCCCTTTCCACCTCCCTTCAGCTTTTATGGTATGATTATGTGATTTATGACACTTAGTGTCCTGAAAGGAACCAGTTCACTTCCAGTTGGAGGGAATGGTGTTATTGTTTCACAGCAGTTAATTTGAACATGAACAAAATTTCAAGGCAGAAGAAATTGTGCCTTGAAGAAAGTCTGAAGAATAATGTATACATTTTCCTCAGCAGATCTAAACACCATAAAATTTTTAACCCTTGCATACTATTTGAATAATTAGCCCCAAGTAGATTGTATATAACTTTTGCGTTGCCCTCAAGAAATTAAAAAAAATAACATTTTTCTCTTCATAAAGGTGTAGGATTGAACAGCACAACTCAGAGTGTGCTTAGTCGGCCCATGCAAAGGAAGCTTGTGACGTTAGTCCATTGCCAGCTGGTGGAAGAAGAAGGGCGGATCCGAGCTATGCGTGCAGCACGATCTCTGGGTGAAAGAACTGTTACTGAGCTTATTCTTCAGCACCAGAATCCCCAGCAATTGTCTTCAAACCTTTGGGCTGCAGTGAGGGCTAGAGGCTGTCAGTTCCTTGGACCAGGTATGCAGCAGGGAAAATGGTTTTCTATCAGTGAGAAGATCAGCTGTGCTATGAGCAAAAATGCTTTACATATTTTTTATATTTGAACAATTCAAAGCATTTAAAAAACCAGTTTCTTTTTAATGATAGTGTGGTTTATTTCTACTTTATATTGCACAGATTTGACAGGTTTTACTAAAGTCTTACTAAGTGTTCAGCTATACGGTAGGATCAGGATGAAATGTAAAAATGTTTGCTAACGGTTCTGTGGGTGTGCTTTGATGGGCGTGGCTTGGTCATGTGACCGGGTGGGCATGGCCAACTTGACGGCACTCACTGTTAGAGCCAGGAGCTGCACATTTTGAAGCACATTCTGCCCTTCTGAAGCCCCCAATGCCTTGAGTTTCCCTCTGCCAGCCAAGCGAACATCGGAGCCTTCTGTTGCAGAAGCAGAATCCAGGCACAGAAATGGAAAAACGGGGTGGGGTGGGGAGGAGACAGTGTAATTAGCAGAATCCAGGTACAGAAATGGAAAAACAGGAAGGGGGGAATGGGGAGGAGAAGATGTAATTAGCAGAATCCAGGTACAGAAATGGAGAAACGGGGCGGGGGGAATGGGGAGGAGAAGGTGTAATTAGCAGAATGCAGGTGCAGAAATGGAAAAACGGGGGGGGGGGGAAGGGGGAGGAGAGGATGTAATTAGCAGAATCCAGATACAGAAATGGAAAAATGAGGGGGGGAATGGGGAGGAGAAGGTGTAAGAAGACGTTTCCTTAGATCGCTGATGCTCCCAACAATGAGTTTGGTAGCGATCTAAGGAAATGTCTTCCAGCTCTTCAAAATCGACTTTAAGCCAATAGCAAAAGTAGTGGCGGCGGGGGAGGAACAGGTGTGTGTGTGTCTGTCCCTCTCTCCGCAAGGACTTGGAGGCAGACACTGTCCCTCTGAGGAAAAGAGAAGGCAGCGAAGCCCTGGTTGTCACCTGGGAGAGGAGGACCGCGGTGGGACACACACACACACACACCCCGCTTCCACTACTTTTGCTGTCGGCTTCTCGGCACTCTTAAAGTCGATCTTGAAAAGTTGGAAGATGTTTCCTTAGATCACTGACGCTCCGAACAATGAGTTCAGCAGCGTGGAAGGCAGGCAAGCATAGCAGGGCTGCTGGGAAGGGAGTAAGCTTCTAGCTCCCTTTCCCACAGCCCTACCATGCTACCCTGCCTTGCACGTGGCCATCCGCTTGCCTGCCTTCGCAAGCTGGCCATGGGAAGTCTGCAGGGATGCATGGCAGGGCTGTGGGCCGTGGGCCGATTTGGGGGCATGGCCAGCTGCTATTGCTACCAGTACGGCAAACTAGCCCCAATCTCCACTACCGGTCCTCCCGAACCGGTAGCATTTTACCCCCTGGGTAGGATGGTGCTTTATTAAATTGTTTAAAGATTCAATACAAGTTCGAGCAGTACCAGATAAAGTAATCAAGGAAAAAGCCTCTCAAATATAAACTAACAAGTTCAGTCTTCAAGAAAAATATAAAGTAATATTTAACAAGTTTCCACTACTTTAGTTATAAAAATTCAGCATTTGAATTTTTGGAGTTTGTTGTTACCTAAAGCTCTCCTAGCAGCCTTCCCTGGGTATCCTTCAGATATTGAACTTCAATTTCAGAATGCCCATCCAACAATTGGTGGGTTCTGCCTTAGGGGACACAAAGTAACACTCAAGGCCCACTTCTTAGTTGCAAGGAGTAAGTTCAACTGCTTACACTGATTTATTCGTTAATTACAGGGAGTCCTCAATTTACAATTGATCCCAAAATTCCACTGCTAAGCAAGGCAGTTTTTGAGTCAGTTGTGCCCCATTTTATGACTTTTTTTTTTGCCATAGTTGTTAGCAATCATTGCAGTTGTTAAGTGAATCTAGCTTCCCCCATTGATTTTGCTTGTCAGAAGCTCCCTAGGAAAGTTGCAAATGACAATCTCAAGGCCCCAGGACAATGCAACCATCATAAATACACGCCAGTTGCCAAGTACCTACAGTTTGATCATGTGACTGTGGGGATACTGCAAGTATGGGAATTGGTCATAAGTCACTTTTTTCAGTTCTACTGTGACTTTGAACAGTCATTAAATGAATGGTTGTAAATTGACTGCCTATATTAAGTATTGCAATATGTATTGGACTGAAATATTCAGTGGCATAATTAATCCTATGCTCAGCTATTTGCAGTAAGAATATACTTGGGGTTTTTAGCATTTTTGGGAGGTAGGTTTGTCTTTGCACTTTGTCATTCCTATTTTTAAAACCATGTCATAAACAGACTAGTAATTGATATGGAAATGAAAATTGTCTGGTTCCTTCTAATGCAAGTAAATTATGCTCTAGGGCAGGGGTCGGCAACTTTAAACACTCAAAGAGCCACTTGGACCTGTTTCCTACAGAAAAAAAACACACCAGGAGCCACAAAACCTGGGTGGGCGTGGCCAACTCGATGTCACTCACTCCCAATCAGTCACATGACCACCTAGCTACGCCTACCCAGCCATAAAACTATTCTCTTATGTCTCCCTCTCCCTATCTGCCCCTCTCTTTCCTCCCTCTTTCTGTATCTCTGTGTCTGTCCCTCTCCATATCTTCCCCTCTCCCCCCTTTGTATCTCTCCCTCTCCCTCTCTTTCCCTCTCTCACTCCCTCTCTATGTATTACTCTGTATGTGTCTCTCTATGTCTCTCTCTCACCCATTCTCTGTGTATCACTCTGTGTGTCTCTATGACTCTCTCTGTATGTGTGTGTTTGTCTCCTCCCCTCCCTTCGGGCGACCATCCTCCTCCTCCCCCCCCCCTCTTCTCATAACTCCCTGGCTGGCTGTGGCTGAGCCGGGAACGTTTGCATGCACAGGGAGAGCCTCAAGCGAGCGCCAAAGCGCAGCAAAGGCGTGCGCGGGTTGGGCGGCCTCTCACTTAGGAGGGTCTTAACAGGACACAGCTTCTCTCCTGCACTAATGCTCTGGCCATCGCCTTGCCATCACCCACCCCTGGCAGCTCTTCGGCCAAGTGCAGAGGGAGAGAGTGAGACTGAGAGTGAGAACATGGATGTGTCTTTCCTAAGAGTATAACTTTAACTCTTTTGAGGCAATTGAAAAGTTCATGTGGATGTGTAATAGTTGCATATTAGGAAGACATGTGAATTGTCAAAGCAATATGTTACTCTTTCTCTTATACAACATAAATAATAATTACCTTGGGGATTTGTATTGCCATTTCAAAGTGAGGAGTTTCCACTCCTGTCCCATCACTGGTTGGCCCTGCCCTTCTTATTTCTTTTTTGGACTCCAGCCTGAAGTGGCAGGAAGCGAAGGCTGTCGTTTGTGCAAATGTGGCGCGAAGGCAGGAACAGGGCAGCTTCACTCCTGCACTCTCTGGCGATCCTCTTCCAGGCCAGCTGGCTAAGCTGGGATCGTGTGCACGCACAGGGAGACCCTCCTCAAGTAAACGCGAAAGCTCAGGAAAGGCCCATACGGGGCGGGCAGCGGCTTGCTTAAGGAGGGTCTCTCCATGCGTGCGCACACTCCCAGCTCATCCACAGCCAGCCAGGGGGTTACGAGAGGAGGGGGGGATGAGAATTCAGGAGCGAAGCTGCCCTGTACCTGCCTTCGCGCCACATGTGCACAGAGGGCAAGTGTTGCTGAGGCAACATTCATACCCACTGCAGCCAGGCTTAGATCGGGCTGATTCAGATTTTGAAAATTCCTTCCAATATGGAATCAGTGATTGCGGAAGCCATTAAGCAGGGCATCGCTGCAGGACTGCAGCAGAGCAGAGTGGCCTCTGTGGTCTCTGGTTTTTCCCTGCAGCCGGGACAGACTCAAATATCCCAACCACCAGGGGATTTTTTGGCCTTCCCAGAGCCCTATTCCCCAGCCCCCTCTGGACAGAGCCAATCATCGCTCTCAAAGGAGGCAGAACTTTCAGAAGATGAGGGACTAGCACTGGACCAACCGGCCTTCACAGGGCTTTTTAGATCTGCCCTATTTACATCCCTCCTCTTCAAGGCACGAAATACGACCCGCCTGAGTCCAGACTCTACAGTGTCAGATCCTGCCTTTGATGCGGCAGATCCTATGGACTCCCTATTTTCGGAGCTGACCACTACAGCAGAGGTGATTCCCTCACCCAAGCTGTTAATTGATGTGGTACAAAGACAGTGGACCTCTCCAGGGACAGGCCCCAACCCGCCTCCGTCAGAGAGGAAACTATAATGTGGGACCAGACCTGGCCCAAGCGCTCCAGACACCTATGGTAGATGTTCCAGTGGTGGTCCTGTCCTCACCCTCGGTCATACCCAGTGATCTGGAGGACACACTAAAGGCAGAGGACAAGAGGGCGGAGCAAGCACTTCAAAGAGGCCATCAGGCGGCTGCATGAGCGGTCAAGGCTGCCATGTCCGCCTCTTTTTTCAACAGGGCCTCTCTGCTCTGGCTGCACCAAATGCAGGAGCACATTCCAGCTGGGGATGTTCAGACCCACCAAGACATTAATAAACTTGTCACCGCAGCAGAGTTCTCAGCTAACACTACATTCAATGTGATCAAGTACACCTCAAAGGCCATAGCGTCATCAGTGGCTGCCAGTCGCCTGCTATGGCTCCACCGATGGCAGGCAGATATCAGGCACAAATAGCCTCGCCCCCCTTTAAAGGGGAGAAGCTGTTTGGGGATGCCTTGGACCCCATCTTAGGGGAGTCCAAGGATAGGAGGAAAGTTCTGCCATCTTTCTTCAGGCAAGGCAAATTTCATGCCTCACCTTACTTTTGCCACCCCTCTGGTCGTGCTCCGGACTCCAGTTCCGGGTTTCAGTGGTCACAGAGACTTTATTTCCCGAGACAAGAACAACAGTAGGACAGGTCGGGCAGAAACAGGCAGTTCCAGCACAAGCTGCCCTTTCGGGTGGAGGAGGTCGCTCCCTTCAATGCTCAAAGTGACGGCAAGACCTCCCATTGAGGGCCGCCTGGAGCTATTTGCCAAGCATTGGGAGGACATCACCACAGATGCCTGGGTCCTGGAGACGGTAAGATTGGGCCTCTCCCTAGAGTTCCTCTCCACACCCCCGAGGTTTTTCATTCATTGTCCCATCTCAAGGGACAAATCATAAGAAGTTCCTCATGGAAACTGCTATTCAATATCTGTTGGACATTCAGACGATCCAACTGGTTCCAGAGGACCAACAGGGACTGGGATTCTATTCCATCCTGTTTGTAATCCCAAAGACCTCAGGGTGGTGGTGGTGGAGGGCAATTCTGGACCTGAAAAGGGTGAATTGCCTACTAATTTACAGGCGGTTCAAGATGCAGTCACTCCAATCCATTCTGGAAAGCGTGTTTACAATTACTCCTTACAAATCTCCAGGATTCTCTTCAGCAACAGAGATCGTTGAACAAACTACCACCCAGCTGGCTTCCGGTCTCGGCCGGTGGAGCCGCGGGTTTCTTACAACCGTGAAGGGCTAAGCCCAAGCCTGCTATAAGGCGAGGGAGCAGGCAGCAGCTGCACTTATTCAGACAGACTTCCTGTACTCCGAACCCCCTTCAAACAGCTTTCCCAAGCCCTTAGCCTCCAGCAGTTCACGGAGGCATCTTGAGTCCCTGCTGGGTCTCCAAGCATACTCTTTGGTACCAGACATTTGCCACGCCTTTAACAGCGGCTCCCCAAGCGGGTTTTGGATAACTTGCTATTCCTGGATTCTTCACAGCAAAGACCCTTTGGGGGAGATTGACACCCACTTGGCTGTATCCCGGTCTGACCAGTGGAGCCGCTTGACTGATTCCAGCATGAAGAGCTTCGGCTCGAGCCCACTGAAGGCCAATCAATCAGCATAATCACAGAAAGGTATTTCGTGATTGCGGGGTAGCGTAAATGAACCTGGCTCCACGCTGCTAACCCCAGGAGCTCAGTAATCGCTCCCTTTCCGCACCGGCCCAGCATGAAGAGCCTAGCTCGACCCTGCTGGAGGCCGTAAGTGGAGGCCACAATATAAACTGGCTGGATCTCAGGGCAGTTCACCTGGCCCTCAGGCAGTTCCAAGACATGGTTTCGGACAGATACGTCCTAGTCATAACAGACAATGTGGCCACCAAGGCCCACATAAACCGCCAAGGGGACACCCATTCCAGGTCCCTCATGCAAGAGGCAGAACAACTAGGCCTCTGGGCAGAGAGACACCTTCTGTCCCTCAGGACAGAACATATTTCTGGAGTGACGAATGTGCAGGCAGACTAGCTCAGCAGGTCCATTGTCAACCACTCAGAGTGGCACCTGCAACAGGCTTTATTTCAGGAGCTGACGGCTTGCTTCAGACTTCCAGCTGTGGATCTGTTCGCCACTCAGGACAACATGCAACTGCCCAGATTCTTCTCAAGGTTTGTGGTATCAGGGGCGGAGGGGGTCAATGCTCTTCGCAGTACTTGCCCCGAGGACTCCTCTACCCCTTCCCTCCACTTCCCGTCATTCCGAAGGTGATCTGGAAGGTATTGGTGGAAAAGGCGGAGGTCCTACTTCTGATCCCACACTGACTCAGAAGGCCATGATTTACCGACCTGGTCAATTGGCCGGTGACCAGACTTTAGAGGATACCGCCAGTCAGAATCTCCCTCAGCCAGGGGCCTTGGTCCACCCGGACCCATAGCGGCTTCAGCTGACTGTCTGGTGTTTGAGCGGAGACTTCTGAGCCGGGACAATTACTCCTCCTGGGTAATTCAGACTATGCAGGCGTCCAGGAGGCCTTCCACTAATTGGGTATATGCTGCAGCATAGAAAACTTTTTGCACCTGGTGTTCCAGGTCAGGATTGAACCCTCCATCGGTATCCGTGGCCAGATACTGGAGTTCCTCTAGGAAGGACTAGACAAGGGGCTATCGTCCAACACTATCTGTCAACAGGTGTACCCTGTCCTCGGTCCTCTCTTGCGGGGATCTGGAGTCCCTCGCTTAACACCCGGCCATGTGCAGGTTCATTAGGGGCGCAATGAACCTAGATGAATTTCAGAGTTGGCCCTCTCTGTCAGGAAGGACCTCTGTATCTTCCATCCCAATAGGATGGTCTTGTGGTTGGACCCTTCCTTTGTCCCCAGGGTGGACTCATGGTTCCACAGGGCTCAGGAACTTATACTAACCAACTTCTGCCCGGGCCCAGTACACACCCTGGAGAAGAAGTGGCACAACTTGGACATAGGGAGGGCCCTCCACATGTACATTAAGAGGACTTCTTCCTTCAGGAAGACAGAGTCTCTCTTTGTGTCCTTCCAGCCCTCTACCCTGGGCAACAAAGTCACTCCATTGACCATGGGCCGCTGGATTCAGGTGTGCATCGCCAAGGCCTACGAACTACAGGCTCTTCCTTTGCCTCGGCAGGTAACAGCCCATTCCACCAGGAGTGCAGCCACAACAGAGGGATGGGCAACACAAGCAGCTACATGGTCCTCTCCATTCTCTTTCATCAAACATTACAAGCTGGACATCTTCGCTTCAGCTGAAGCGGCCTTTGGCAGGCGAGTCGGTCCATTCTGAACAGGGGACTTCGGACCAGACTGCAGCCCACCAGTAGGACAAGCCAGCTTTGGTATGTCCCATTCCTGGATGCTATCTCCACCACAATGGAGAAGGGGCATTGGTCTTAACTGATATGCTCCTTCTCGTTGGGTGGAGATAGCATCCAGCCCCACCAGGGGTGAAATGCTCCCGGTTTGGACTGGAATGCCCGATCCGGTAGCGATGGAGGTGGGTGGTTCGGAGAACCAGTAGCAAAAATCCCTGCAAACCCCCCCCCCCATGCCCAGCTGAACTGCGCAATCATCAGAGGCTTTTTTTTTAATTTTTAAAAGCATTTTTTCTACAATGTCTTTGGCCGAAAAAATGTTTTTAAAAGAAAAAAAAAGCCTCTGATGATCATGTGACTCAGCTGGGATAGTCAGAGGCTTTTAAAAGCATTTTTTTCTACAACCTCTTCGACTGAAGAGGTTGTAGAAAAAATGGTTTTAAAAGCCTCTGCCGATCCCAGCTGAGTTGCCTGATCAGCAGAGGCTTTTTATTCTTTTAAAAGCCTCTGCCGATCCCAGCTGAGTTGCCTGGTTGGCAGAGGCTTTTAAAAGCATTTTTTTTAAACAACCTCTTCAGTCGAAGAGGTTGTAGAAAAAATGGTTTTAAAAGTAAAAAAAAAAAAAAGTTGGCCACGCCCACCCAGTCACTTTACCCGCCCCCCAAGCCATGCCCACAGAACCAGTAGTAACAAATTTTACATTTCACCACTGAGCCCCACCCTGAAAGAGTGGTCTGGTCCTGGGTCCAAAGTGGGAGAACCTTAGCAAAAGACATGTCAAGTCTGTCAATAAGTCTTCGCCAAAAGCTGGGGACCATTGGTAAGGGAGGTGTGTCCTCACAGCTCTGACAGACTCAGTCCAATCAGCTAACAGACGAGGTCAATCCGTTCCTGGATGCTATCTCCACATAATGAGAAGGAGCGTATCAGGTAAGACCAAGGCTCCTTTTCTAGCACGATCCTGATGTAACCTAGAGATTTCTATAACTCCTAATATAGTTGCTAATTCATAGAATTTGTAATATCTTTACAAAAATCCTATATTAATCCTGTCATGGTCCTCTTGATTTTCCAGCGATGCAGGAGGAAGCCCTGAAGTTAGTTCTTTTAGCTTTAGAAGATGGATCTGCTTTATCTCGAAAAGTCTTGGTTCTCTTTGTGGTACAGAGGTTGGAGCCACGATTTCCTCAGGCTTCTAAAACCAGCATTGGGCATGTTGTCCAGCTTCTTTACAGAGCCTCCTGTTTCAAGGTACAAAAGATTTTAAGTGCTTGTGGATCTTCTTTATCTGGTAGTTATGTCCATTCTTAAATTGTGTGTATGTGTGTGTGTGAATTTCTTTTGCACAAATGGCATGCAGAAAGTTCCACAGAATTATCATTTGCAAGAGAGAAACTTGATTAGGCACACTTATTCCTTAAGATTCATTACTTTATCTTACTTGAATAGTTTTGCTCCACCAGGTGACTAAACGTGATGAGGATTCCTCCCTAATGCAGCTGAAGGAGGAATTCAGAACATATGAAGCTCTGAGACGAGAACATGATTCCCAAATTGTACAAATTGCTATGGAGGCTGGTTTACGCATAGCTCCAGATCAGTGGTCTTCATTGCTATATGGAGACCAGTCTCACAAATCCCACATGCAGTCCATTATTGACAAGGTAGTATCTCTTTAAATCATTATCCTTTTGTTTCTCAAATCAATTTTAAAAATGCTGATAAAATTGTAAAGAGAAATTCATATTTATATGTGAAATGCACCAATTACATTTTTTTTCATTCTGACTTTATACAGGTAGTCCTCGACTTACAACCATTCATTTAATGATTGAAGTTACAACAGCACTGAAAAAAGTGATTATGACTCTTTCACACTTACTAGTGTTGCAGCATACCCATGGTCACATGATCAAAATTCCTGCACTTGACTATTGGCATGTATTTATGAGGGTTGCAGTGTCCCAGGGTCATGTGTTCACCTTTTGTGACCTTTTATCAAGCTAAGTCATTGCGGATGCCAGATTCATTCAACAACTTGGCAAGAAAGATCGTAAAATGGGGCAAAACTCACTTAACAACTATCTTGCTTAGCCATAGAAATTTGGGGCTCAATTGTGGTTGTAAGTTGAAAACTACCTGTAGTGGGAATGGAGTATCCTCCTTACTTGTAAAGTTTAGCTTTGATACAAAATACCTGGGAACCTCTTTCACCATTTTAGACGTAGAGCCTATTATGAACCGTGGTGGTGCAGTGGTTAGAATGCAGTACTGCAGGCTACTTCTGCTGACTGCAATTTGGTGGTTCGAATCTCACTAGGCTCAAGGTTGACTCAGCCTTCCATCCTTCCAAGGTCAGTAAAATGAGGACCCAGATTGTTGGGGGCACTATGCCTTAGAGAGGGCTATAAAAGCACTGAGAAGCTGTATATAAATCTAAGTGTTATTGCTATTATAGCCTAAGCTAGAAAGTGTGTTTTTTACCTATTTTCACTTTAGTATTCATTGGTGAATTCCAGATGAATGCTTTTTATTATTATTATTATTATTATTATTATTATTATTATTATTATTATATACTTTAAAACTGTTTTATTATTTTATTGTATATTTTATATTTTGTAAATCACTTTGAGAGGGTTTTATGTAGGAACTAGTATAAAATACATTTATTTCTACTAGTAATAATGTTCCTGAATGTTATTAATTCCTTGAATAAAAATAAAAACAGCCATAGATCATTTCTTAAGCTTAGAGCTAAGATGTGATTGTTGCGCTAAGTAGTACTTTGGAAGGTACTTATATTGCAGAAAAAAAGGATAAAGAGCATTTATATAAGGCTGCATGAGGCAAGTACTTAAAATGATTTGGAAGCATTTCAGGAGTAATTTTTAGCTTTAGTCTATGACTTTGGAGGCCTGGGCTTGTATGAGACCATAATGTGGAAGGAGTCTCTTGTAGTCCAACTGTGGGGAAAGCATTGCAGTTTTTCCATGCTAGTGTGTTATGAAACTACAGATTAACCCAGAGCCTATGAGGGAACTCGTGTATGCAGTGCAAAAGAAACCAGATCTTTGTTTATACATAACTAGTAATGATATTGTTGAAATGGAAGGATGAGTGCAAAAGATGCCAGAAGTTAATCATTTTTTCACTTTTGTCTTCTTAAAATAGCATTTTTCTTGATTGAAAACTCATTTTAGTGTCTTAGTATACTCTTTTCTACTATAATTAGAAATTAGTGCATTATTACGGGAGCTTCCCGATACTCCCGGGTTACACCTCTCCTGCGCGAGCTGCACTGGTTGCCAGTGGTCCTTCGGATCCGCTTCAAGGTGCTGGTTCTCACCTATAAGGCCCTTCATGGCATGGGCCCGGGGTACTTGCAGGATCACCTCCTATCGGCCTCCCACCGCCCAGTGCGCTCACATAGGGCTGCCCTCCTACGGGTGCCGTCAGCCAGACAATGTCAGCTGACGGCGCCCAGGATGAGGACGTTCTCTGTGGCTGCACCGACCCTCTGGAATGAGTTACCCACCGGGCTCCGGACGGCCCCTGATCTTCGTTCTTTCTGCAAAGACCTGAAGACATGGCTTTTTAAGCAAATTGTCTGATTCTGTTTTGGGAGGTTTAATTAATTGTGGGATTTTAATTGAATCTTTTAATCTTATTTATTATTGCTGTTTTATTGTGATTTTATTGTTGTGAGCTGCCCCGAGTTCTTCGGGAGAAGGGCGGCATATAAATTTTAATAAAATAAACAAAATAAAATAAAAATAAATTATTTCTGGAGAAGACACCAAATTTTGGAAGACAAAGTGGTTTATATCAAGTCATAAATAATTAAGATAATAATTAACATGTATTTTCTCATTTGATTGGGGTGTCCACGTGGACAGAAAGCATTTCTAATGATTAATACGTGAATGTGTTAAGTTGCAGACCCCAGCCTCTTTTGCACAGAGTGTTCAGGAATTAACAATTGCTCTCCAGAGGACTGGTGATCCAGCTAATTTGACCCGGCTTCGACCCCATCTTGAACTTCTTGCAAATATTGATCCCAGTCCAGGTAAATTTGGATGGATGGATGGGCGGATGGGCAGGTGGGCAGGCAGACAACAGTTTTTATATCATCTTAAGACTAATATAGAGAGCTCTGGTGGCTCAGCAGACTAAAGCACTGTTATTAACATCCACTTACATCTGCTGCCTGCAATTACTGCAAGTTCAAATCTCACCAGGCTCAAGGTTGACTCAGCCTTCCATCCTTTCTAAGGTAGGTAAAATGAGGACCCGGATTATGGGGGCAATAAACTGACTTTGTATAAATATACAAAAGTATGAAGGCTATTGCTTAACGCATTGTAAGCCGCCCTGATTCTCCGGAGAAGGGCGGCATATAAATCAAATTAAATACTCTAATCTTAAAAAACACATAAACATATATTTAGGAAAGTAAAAATCTCATGACAATTTCAAAGATCATGTTATTTTATGATATATTTATCTTATTGTTTTATGTCTGTAGTGTATTCTATTTTTGACAGAAAAGTCCAGTGCAGAAATATAACAAAAACATTCTAACATAAATCACCATGTAAAACCAACTAAGTTTATTTTGAAAAAGAAAGTAAATAAATAGTCAGAGGATCCTGTTCTTGTCATAAAAGAAACTAATTTGTTTTTCAAAATCAAATCTTAATTCTTGTATATCATTACATCCTTGTAAATGTCTTCTATTTTCCATGTCATTAAAAAAATGAATGGTTTTTATGATGAAAGATTTTTTTGTTCCATAAAATTTCCCATTGCTGAGAAAAATTCAGGTTTTTTTTTCTTCTAAACACTGTAGATGCTCCACCACCCACATGGGAACAGCTTGAGAATGGATTAGTTGCTGTACGGACTGTGGTACATGGACTGGTTGATTACATCCAGAATCACAGCAAAAAAGGAGCAGATCAGCAACAGGTATAGTGAATAGCCGGGGTCCCCAACCCCTGATCTACAGTCTGGTGCCGGGCTGCAGCCTGTTTGGAACCGGGCCATGGAAGTGGTGGGCAAGCACAGCTGCATTTGTGAAAATGTTGCGAAACCATCCCCTTCCCTCACCACCACCGCCAGTCCACCAAACAGGAAAGGTTGGAGACCACTGGTATATAGTGCAGAGCTTGGGAAAGGTGCACCTAGACCAGGGGTGTCAAACTCGATTTCATTGAGGGCTACATCAGGGTTGTGTTTGATCTCGGACAGCTGGGGGTATGTGGACAGGGGTGGACGTTTGACACAGGCTCAAGATGCATTTTTCCCCTTCTTTCTTTCCACAGTTCTTTACTATAACCATTTTCCTATCTCTTCTACCAGATATTACTGGCAAACATTTATTACTTATTCTTCATACTCCACTAAACTTTTTATTTCTAAATTTATACCCTATTGTTTAATAGTAAATTGCTTTTCCAGGCAGAAAAGCTATTTATACTATTGTATTTTTATTATTCAACTAATAATAAAAATACAATAGCATAAATAACATGATAATACAAGATCTAACAGCAGAGGTAAATTTCCAGGGTAGTAAATAGAACTGGTGTCAATTATAGATTGTTGATTATAGATTAAATGGACCTATAGTATGTAAAATCTGGCATTAAACTGTAGTATTAACATAGGATGTTGCTTGTTTTCTATCCAGATCAGGCACTTACTTGAGGCCACATAATTATAATCCAGTCCAATGCAGTCCTTCAGCAGCACTGTGTAGCCCGCTTTTGGCCTCCCCGGCCTCCCACAGCACTCTACCGGCCAAAAACGGGCCACCCAGAGGCCCCTCGCAGCCCGTTTTGGCTGGCAGAGGCACTGCAGGCTGGTCCTTTAATATTTCCAGACCAGCCCTGTCTTGAGTTTGACCTAAACAAAGGGCTCCTTTCTGAACTAAAACAGAATAAACAGTTGTCTTTCAAATTATATGTAAGATAACAAATTGCCCCAAGGGATAATAGATTTTAGGCATTCTTTGAAGCCAAGATCAGTCAATCTTAGTTTTCTGTGAGGTTAGTGTACTATATTATTACTTATCCCTATCTACAATATTCACACTATTAAATGATATGATTAAGTTTTCTTTTTTAAATAACCTACTGTATCAATACATAAAGGATGAACTTGCTCATGTTTATATGAACAGAACTGGTATTTTATTATCTATATGCTATGATTTTGATGACAATTATAGTCATAAAACCTAGTCACTCATGTCATTTTTAACAAAGGTATCTTTCTGTATTTTTTCTTCAGATTTTTTTCTGCTTATCTTGGATAATTATTTTCCAAATAATCTTTTGTGTTCTTTTATCTAATTTAGCCACCTCAGCACAGCAAGTACAAGACATATATGTGTCGAGATATGAAGCAGAGAAGAGAATGCCCCCGTGGGGCCAGCTGCACATTTGCACACTCACAGGAAGAACTAGAAAAGTAAGTTCCATGTCATTGTTCTACTTCTACCTTAAATATTATATATGAGCTTAAAGTCGGAATCATTCAGTTCAATCCTCAGAGGATCAGAATAGTAAAACCTTTGATCATTCAAACAAAAACTGGGAAACAGCAGTTTATAAGTCATACAGTAGCATTTTATTAATAATTTATTCATCTGGATGTATCAACCATAGAGATTTTTTAAAATTTTAATTAGAAATTGCTGTTACTACAAGGGGGAAAAAAGTACATTTTTAAAGTTGACCTTTAGATACAAGAATTGGTAAATATTACTATGATTGTATTCTTTTAGAAGACATTTAAGAAATTATAAAAATAATTGAACTTCTGTTTTAATTATTAAAATATTATTAAAGAGGAATTTATTTCACGAATGAAGGCAAATATATGGGTCTCAAGATAATGTTGCAGGATCCAATCTGAGTCCATCACTAGGATCAGAGTTTTAGTCTTCCGAGCTTTCGGACTCATGCTGGATCCCATCCTCCGGAAATGTCTCTCTCATCAGAATGTGTGCTTTAGGTTATTCTAGGCATAGTATTTATGTGGTGCCTGGTTGTGTGTGACTTTTTAGTTGTTGATTGTGGTGTTGATGGCCGGTTATTAAGTCGTTGGCTATTTTCTTGTACTTCCAAGTCCTCAGCTCCTAAGAACCTGATAAACTGGCGGTAAATCAGCACTCCTATTTACTGAAAGGGGCCCATTTCCCAGGCTTCAATCGTTTCTCTGATTATTCAGGAAGTCAAGGACTGGATCCTTAATTTATTTCACTTGGGCTGAGCAATGAAATATTCAGCATCTTTACATTTGAGGATGAACTGATAAGAGGAATGTGAGTTGGGAAGAGATGTTTTTGAGCAAGTGTAGTCTTTCTTAAAAGCAACTACAAAAAATTATCTTCTTGCCCACTTTGATCAGTTTTGGATTTTTACTTAATCATCTTGTGTTTTACAATTTGTGAACATATGATTTTATTTTATTTCCTATCTCTGTTTTTAATGTTTTATCTTATGACATGATTCTGATTGTATTTGTTGATAATTTTAAAAAAATACAAGATGAGATAAGGTCTCAAGTTGTGTTTCATCTTCATTTATCGTAGGATTTCCTATTTAGAAGTAATACAGTTGAAAAAAATTGGCAATAATTAATAACCCAAAAGTTTGGAATCCTGGTGAATAGCTCAGTGAAAAAAATGATCTAGTGCAGGGGTCCCCAAACCCCCAGGCTGCAGCCCACTAGTGGGCCGTGAGCCATTAGAAACTGGGCCTCAGATGTGGCAGGCAAGTGTGTGCACTCCATGTGCGCAAAAAGCAGGCACATGTGCCCGCCGCCTACACAAACGGAGCTGTGCGAGCACGCTTACTGGCCACTCACATGGAACCATCCCTCCCCACCACTGGTCTGCAAAGCTGGAAAGGTTGGGTAACTGTGAGCTAGTGGATCATTAGGAAAGAATTACTGCAAATAAGTTGTGATATGGCCATACTTGAAGGCTGAGTTAAAAGATGTGCAGTTGACATGTGGGAAATTTTGTGTTACATTACTGTTTTTTACTCTGAACTAAAATTCCAAGATAAGCATAAATTAGCTGCTAGCCCACCTGCTAGCATTCAAATCCTTTTAGTCTTTTGTAATTCATCTCTCTCTTAATCCTTTCAGAAACATACAAAATCATCTTCATCTTATTAATGAATGTTAATTCATCTTAATAATGTTAATATTGGAACCTAATGTTTTTCCTTGCTTTTGTTCCATCGTCTATCACCCTGATGGCAAACCTATGGCATGCGTGCCAGAAGTGGCACACAGAGCCTCTCTGTGGGCACGCGTGCCATCGCCAGCTGCTCTTCTGGGTTCCAGTGCTCTGGTGTGCACGCACACTCCAGTTTTGGCACTCAGTGCCGAAAAGGTTAACCATCATGGTCTATCATCTCTATTGTTCCGCTGCCAAAGAAGTTCTCTATCAATAACCTCAACAATTACAGACCAGTGGCACTCACTCCTATCATCATGAAGTGCTTTCAGAAACTGGTCTGTCAGCACATCATTTCTGGTCTTCTGCATACATTTGATAAATAGCAGTTTGCATACAGAACAAATGGATGCTATAGCCATCACTCTTCACACTGCTCTGACTCATCTGGAACAGCGGGGCGGGGCTATGTGAGGATGCTTTTTGTAGATTTTAGCTCTGCATTTAACACAATTCTTCCACATAGACTAGTGTCTAATTTTATGGATCTTGGGCTTTCTTATTCTTATGCCTTTGTATTATGCATTTCCTGTCTGGCCACTCTCAGAAGGTCGGATTAAGTAATCATATCTCCTCAGCCCTTATTCTTAACACTGGTACATCACAGGGTTGCGTGTTGAGTCCCTTACTCTATACTCTTTATGTACATGACTGCATTCCCATTCATGCCAGTAATACTATTAATAAATTTGCAGATGATATAACAGTGGTAGGACTCATCCGGGGGGGATGAGTCTGCCTATCAAGATGAGGTGGACCGGTTGCTTTCGTGGTGTGGAGACAATAACTTGGTCCTTAACACCAGTAAGACCAAGGAGTTTATATTGGACTATAGGAGGAATAGATCGGACATTCAGCCCTTGGTTATCAATGGAGATCAGTGGAGCAAGTGGCAAGTTTTAAGTTTCTGGGTATCTATTTAAGTATCTTGGAGCCTGGGGAGGGTGAAAATGCCCTCCCTCTCCCCCTTGGAGGTCCACAACAGCCCATTTCCTGACTTCCGGTGGGCCCAGCAGACCCATTTTTTGCCCTCCCCACACTCCAGAAGCTTTCCTGGAGCCTGGTGAGGCCAAAAACAGCCTCCCCCCACCCCGTCCGGAGGCCAAAAATGCCCTCCCAAAGTCTCTGCACAAGCCCTGTACTCACCTGGCATCCAAAATGGGCCATGTAGAGACTCCTGGGAGGGGAGGGGTGGCATGGGCGGAGCCAGCTGAAAATCAGCTGGCCAGTGCGCTGGAGCTGAGCTAGGGCAACAGCTTGCGTGCCCACAGATATGACTCCACATGCTACCTGTGGCATACATGCCATAGGTTCACCATCACGGATCTTTGACTTCTTGGGGTGGCTGGGGCTTCATACCATGCCACACTGCTGGGGCACCTGAGGCTTCCCGGGTGGCTTTGCAGTGCACTGAGGTTCAGGGGTTTCTTGCAGTCCCTAAGCCACAGTGTGACAAGCAGCCCCAGAAGCCTGCAGTTTTGAGGTTGCTGCCCTCAAGGCAAGTTGTAGGGCAGCCAAAGATGCAGATGGGGGGGGGGGATATTGAGAGGAGGCAGTCCCTTACCTTAGAAGAACTAAGGCTTGGGACGGGGAGGGATCAAACTCAGAATGGCTTGACTTGGGATGGGTCCTCAGCTAACAATTGGTGAAGGTCAATTAATCATGGGAACGTGGAGTGCTGGGTTTGCTATTGCTAAGTGATGCAGTCATGTGATGCCATGTTTTACAACCACATTGTATAGCAATAGAAATTCCAATCCCAATTATCATTGTAATTCAAGGGTTACTTGTATTATCTAGTTGTATGCAATCCACATGTATTCATAATATTTGTAAATATTGGGCCTGAATTAAAATGCATCCTGTTGCAACTGTAACAATTCTGTTTTGTTGATTGATTACCATATTTTTTTTCTTGAAGATTTCGCAAGATGAACAAACGTCTAGTTCCTCGAAGACCTTTGAGTGCCTCCTTGGGTCAACTAAATGAAGTGGGCCTGCCCGCAGCAGCTATTATCTCAGATGAAGCAACAGTGGACCTACCCAATAGAAAACCCTCTACCTTGCCAAATGGGATTGTTTCACCAGGCAGTACAGTGACACAACTTATCTCTCGTGGAACTGACTCCAGTTATGACTCAGTCATGAAACCTGGGAAGATGGACCACCATAGTAGCAGTGCCCCTGGATCACCTCCTGATTTGTATGCTTCTATATTGTTTATTTCTTAGAATTTGACAATATAAATTAGCTTGCAAAAGAGTAATCCACACATGCTTCCACATGCCAAAATTGTATGTACTCAAAATATAGAGTATATACTTCTGCACTGATTCCTCCTGGCAGCCTGTATATAACTTGATATGTACAACTTTTTCTATCTGTAAGTCATTTTTTTCAGAATCAAAGCCTAGGGCAGAGTTTCCCAACTTTTCCAGCTTTGCGGACCGCAGGGTGGGGGAGAGGATCATTCCCTGCAAGTGGCCAGCAAACGCACACACTGCTCACACAAATGGAGCATGGGTGCACGTGTTCGCCTGCCGTTTCCACAGCCCAGTTGCAAAGAGCTCACAGCCCAGTAGTGGGCCATGGCCCAGAGCTTGGGGACCTCTGGCCTAGGAGATCAACCTATATTCAACATATAAAAGCTCCTTAAACTTGAATTTGTTACCTGTTCATGTCATTCAGATCCTGCCAATAATGCGGAAGTAATTTGCAATTGTTTTCTTTCAAAATACTTTTTTACTTTTTTAAAACTTCCCAATTTGACCAACCACTATAATATTTCTTTGAAAAATTGACTGTGCCAGCTTTCCTTAATTTCCAAACCTAGTCACGGTCAAGCGTTGCTGCTGTTGAGATTTTCTGCTTACATTGGATAAGAAAACAAATAGTAATTTTGTAAGGTTGCTGCTGTAATAGTTAAGGCGCCAGGCTAGAAAGCAAGAAGTCATGAGTTCAAATCCTGCCTTAGCCATGAAAGCCAGCTGGGTAATCTTGAGCCAGTTCTCTCAGGCCAATCCACCTCACAGGGTTGTTTTTGTGGGTAAATAGTAGGAAAAAGATGTGTTGGATATGCTTGCCACATTATTTGTAAAAGTAATAAAGGTGGGACATAATCAAATAAATAAAAATGAAGTGGGATTCTTACAAAAAACATCTGATATTAGAAAAAGCGCATAGGGTTTCCTGCAACGAGGAACATAAGGGTGGGATGCTTAAATTAGTGGCAGAATACAACAGAAGAGCATGTGTTTGGAAGCAGATGATCCAGAGGTCATTTCCCAGATGTAGGGCTGTTAGAAATCCTCTCTCAAATCATTGAAAACTGCTGCTTGTCACTGTCAATCACCGTTAGCAATATTTGAGAGTGAAATCCTTCTAAGTTTCCCACAAGTAAATGGGAGCACACAGCAACAATAAAACAATATCTATACTAAGTTGTAATTGCTTCATCTTTGTGTTTGTCTAATCTAGGCTGGAACCTGTTTCCAAGAGCTCTCACCCAGTGCCCTCCCGAGGACCTACAGACTTGCCTCCAATTTCAGTAGGCAAGCAGCTCCAAATAGTTCCCCGAGGCTCCCAGTTGTACCCAGCTCAGCAAACTGATGTTTTCTATCCAGATCCTCGAGGAACAGCTCCCCCATTTGAGCCTCCACCCTATCAAGCAGGTAAATCCCATCTACATGAAATTTGGTCTTGAAATAAAATGTGTTTTTCCCTTTTTGTGGTTGAATAGTAAATATCGATTAAATTCTATCATCAGAATATGATGCTTTCCATCATCTTTTAGGACAGATATCGTTTGCAAAAATAAATGCATGTCCTCAAATGTAAATGGGGAAAAAAATTAACTGACATTTTAATTCATGCAAACTCTGATTCTCTGAAGTAGTTAAAACAATGGACTAAATATTGTTCTAAATCTTGTTTCATATATTTAGGTGTATATTATCCTCCAGCTCAATCACTACAGTGTATGTCTCGATTCGTCCGACCTCCATCATCTATTCCTGAACCAGGTCCTCCTTTTGTAGAACAACATTATGCACCCTATCTTCAAGATCGCATCATGAACTCACAATACAGCGCACAGCCACAGCAATACCCTCCAATGAGTCAACCTGTATATCCTCCCCATTATGACAGCAGACGTGTGTATCCTGCTGCACAGCCATACCAACGGGAAGATATTATCCGAGGAAGTCCTGTTCCGATTGAAATTTCTCCACCTGCTATATCACCATATGTACCTGAAACAAGAGACAGATATCAACAAGTGGAGGGCTACTATCCAGTTGGACCACATCTGAATCAGATTAGACCTTCATATCATAGAGTATGATACATTTTTTAATTTTATGATTATGGTAAAAGTAATGTGCCGTTTTAGTTTTAATTTAATTTAGTTTTAAAGCAATTGTGTGCTGTCCCATTTTATGGGTAGCTTCATTAAGGCCCCTAAATTAACCAAGCAAGTTAACTCAGCAATGTATATTCTGAGTTTAGATTTAAAAATCTATCAAAGTATAAATGTTTCAAGAAAAGCCAAGATGTGCACATTTCACAAATGCAAATTTAAATTTATCTTTGTTTTTTATAATTAATTTTGCTTCTGAAAAGAATGAGGGAGGTTCAAGGCATTGAAAACCTATAATTGATTGTTGTAAATCAAGAAATGGGACAGAATTGCATTTCTTTTCCATCTCAAATTCCAGAACAGAATTTCAGTTTGCAGGAAGACCAGAATTTATTCTGTAATGACCTAAGGCAGTGTTCCAGGTTGGCAGCCATGGGTGGGTGGGCGCAGGGTGGAAAGGTGATGGTTTTGTGTGAGCGACAGGCGCTTGCCCACTGGTTCCCACCACTCACATGAGTGGGGCTGCAAGTGCCAGTGCCCATTGCTCACGTGATTTAGATTGTGTGCGCATGCCGGCCTACCACTCATGCCTGGTTGCAAATAGGCCTTGTCCCGGTAGTGGTTGGAGACCCCTGGCCTAAGGAATAGCCTAAGTAAGTACTTCTATCTTTTATTTTGTTAGAGGATTTTTCTTTAAGCTTTGCTTTGCTGAAACCATTCATTCACAGATACACAAACCAACACAGATAGATAATATTTCTGATGTGTAGCAATGAATAAGAACAACTATAGAGTGGTTGGCATATGTTGTTTTGATACATTCCAGAGTTTAGAGAGGCAAAGTGACTGGGTATCTCTGAGAGGCCAATGTGAGTTTTAAATATCTGGATAGCCAGTAAATGGCAGAATATAAATTGCAACCCAGGTTACTGTGTTTTAATTTCTGCAGACAATGAACTGCTATGGTTTCTTACCTTCTTCAAAGCAACACTGAGTAGATTATAAACATCTATTATAGATTATTAATATTTATGCTTTCTGATTGTATAAGTGTTAATGAAACAAGATTGCTTCTTATATGTGTGGCTTTGGTGACCTTTTGTTCACTAAGTATAATTGGGTGAACACTATAGTCAAATGTTCATGGAAAACCAGTATCAATGATTAGAAAGTACATTAATACATTTAGCAATATAACTTAACAGATTATCAGATTCCACACCTGGAAATGTATCATTTGGGTTAAAGTAGCTTTCCATTCCTTCAGTCACCAAAATTTGCTATGTTTTCATTTAAAAAAAATTAAAACTTAAATATAAAATGTGATATTAAAATCTTACATTAATTAATTAATTAATTAATTAATTAATTTTATTTATTTTATCATATTTGTATACCGCCCTACTCCCAAAGGACTCAGGGTGGTGAACAGCCAAGATAAAATACAAAGACATACAAAAGTTAAAAAACTATTAAAAACAGATTAAATAATTTAGGCTCAAAAAACAAATTTAAGACATCCAATTTATCTAAAAACATTTAAAACCCAATTTAAAAGGGAGAGTTAGGCGAGACCAGCCTGTTGGAATAAAAACGTTTTTTTTGTGGAAAATAAAATAAAATAAAATAGTAAGGTAGCATTCCTAATTTTCTCCAAAATGCTGTTGAGCAGAAATGTTTGCCTTATGAAATTGATAATGACTCAACAGATGTTAATGAATCTAAGAAGGGAGGTTTACTAAGAAACTTGTATTGAAATAATTTTGCTGCTTTGCTAAAGTATCTTATAACTTTGGGATTGTTGACTTAAGTTCATTTGTAGACTACAGGAATCTTCATATCTGCCTTTTTTTTTAACCTTCAGGAGCCTTATAGTCGGGCTCCCCCTCAGCCACACCCTAGTTTAGATGAATTGCATCGAAGGCGAAAGGAGATTATGGCTCAGCTGGAAGAAAGGAAGGTCATCTCCCCACCACCATTTGCATCATCACCAACCCTGCCTCATTCTTTACACACTGATGAGGTAAGCATATGTATAAAACAATTTAGTAGCGAATATGACACGTGGTTTAAAAAAATATGGGAAATTTGTCCTAAAGAGAGAAATGTAGATGACCTGTTTGAAGAATATTCTGCCATGATCTAAATCCCATTATACAAACCAACTATCTTAAGGGAAAAGTTGAATCAGGTGTTCCAATCACTGAGATGATAATCAGACACTGAGTTTGAGGGGCTCTTCCCTTTAAAATATTGATGGCAGGCACCATCAGTCTGCATTTCATGATTCATGGTTGTGGAAATGAATGTTGTCCCATTCAAAACAAATTTCTGCAGACCTCAGAAAAAGAATTATCAGTATTCATAAGGCAGGTAACCCAACTGCCAAAGACTTTTGACTCATCAGTTCACACTCAGAAAGATAGTGTAGAAATAAGGAGAGTACATTCTAACAATCCTAATTCAAATCATGAAACAATGGCAATAAAGTACATTTTGTTTAATCATAATCTCTTCTTCTCTAAATAGGATGTCAGGGTAGTGAACTGTAGTATAGTGTGGTGTAGACCATTTTGAAGGTCACGGTACTCTAAAATTACAGATTCAAGTAATCCTTGGGTTACAACCCCTCATTCAACAACCATTCAAAGTTACAAATGTGCTGAACAAGGGGGACTTACGACCTGTTCAAGAAGTTGCAGCTATCACAACGGCCTCATGATCAAAATAATTGTGATCTGGGCATTTTAATGCCTGGCTCATGATTATGACATTGCAGTGAGCCACAGTCATATGATTGCCATTTACGACCTTCCTTGCCATCTTCCCACAACCATTGCTAATGGGAAAGCTGGCAGGGAAGGTTAGAAGTTGCTCAAGTAAGTCTCTCCTGTCATTTTTCTCCTCACGGTGGAGAAAAATAGAGTACAAGAGCCCAGAGATTAGGAATTAGTTTTAAAAGTATGAGAAATTCCAAACCTTATAAGTTGTCTCAAATGTTTAATAAATGTTTTTACCTGCAATTAGTCTAGACAAAGTAATTCCAAATGACAGCATAATGCTTCCTTTCTTTCACTGACATGAGTGGGCTTTGTTTTTATGCAGTACTTGGATGAAGACCTGAAAGTAGCAGGCAAATATAAAGGAAATGATTACAGCCAGTACTCTCCCTGGTCGTGTGACACTATTGGCTCCTACATTGGAACCAAAGATGCAAAACCCAAAGACATTGTGGCAGTGGGTCTTGTGGAGATGGTGGTAAGCATGCTGAAAAAAACCAGTGAGGTACTCTTGGTAATTGGTAAATTGCCAGATGACCAGGTTATACAAAGGTTTCCAATAGAGATTCTCCAGACTTTTGTAGCTGATATGGCATGGTCATGAAAGGACATGGTCATAAGTCAAAAAGTAATACGATTGCACCATTTGGTTATCGTAGTTCTGGCAGTCCCAGTTGCCATTGTGTGGGTTGTTAAGCAAGGACCTCAAATATCTGAGACTTCCAACTTCCTGCTGGCTTCCCCATTGATTTTGCTTGTTCCAGTCTTTCTTTCTCCTAATTGTATGTCTGTAGCTGAGTTAGAATTTATCTCTTTCCACTCCTTGTTTATAATTTCATATAAAGTAAAATTGAGGAGAAAACTTTGAAATCATGAAGTATGGATAATTTTTTCTCCAGCTATGCTCCACTCATATAAAGTTATACATTATAAATTTCCCCCAAAGTCCATAATGGCCTGGTAATACAATATTTTTTGAGAGAAAGAAATAATGTTCCATGGATAATTGGATCTACCTCCAAAGGCCTTTGCTTGATTTGTACATTTATACTACTAAATATTTAGCCTGCAAAGAATAGTCTGAATGCTATTAATATTATTTGCTTACAAGTTTGAAAAATTACTGTTGTGCAAGCCTCTTTCTCCAATCAGGCCACCTCCCACCATAATTGTGATATGGAAACATCTGAGAAATATGTCAGCTAAAAAGGAGAAGCTTGCTTGTAATTCTGATCATTTAATTTGTCACTCCAGAATGTGGACAGCAAGGGAATGCGAGATCAACGTTTGGATTTACAAAGGAGAGCAGCAGAGACTGGTGATGATGATCTTATTCCCTTTGGAGATAGGCCTACAGTATCAAGGTTTGGTGCCATCTCACGTACCTCCAAAGCAATGTACCAGAATCCAGGCCCCATGCAAGCCATGACAGTTCAAGGGGCTTCTGCAAAACCAGTCAGTGTTTCAGGTATAAAGCTTTATTTTCTTGGGGCGGGGGAGGGGGTGTTGTAGTAGCTTTGAATCAGTATGTGGCTTGGTTATGGAAACGGGTTAGCAGGTGATATTAAAACCAAAAGAAAGCTGAAATAACACTGGCTTCCCATGAATAGGGGAATACAAGTAGTCCTCAACTTATAACTGATTGTTTAATGAGTACTCAAAGTTAAAGCACTTCCGACCATCATAAAAGGTCACTCTGCCCCCCCCCCCTCCAAAGTTACGTGACCCTTTCACTGGCGAAGATGGCAGTGAAATTTGCAAGCAGAAGAGAAATACCTCAGCAAGCTTTAGGAATGGACCTCAGATCTTTAGAATTTGAGGTTCATTCTTTCAGTGCACTAAGAGTTTCCCTTCCTCACACAGAAGAGAGGGGAAATTCCTTGGTAGGCTTCAGGAACAGACCTCAAATCTTGAAGATTTGCTAGCTTCCTAGGGTTGTCATTCTGAAGGCCCAAAAGATTTCTAACCATCAGGACAATGGCACTTGTTAGTTTTCTACCCTAGCCTAGGAAGGGTAGAAAACACTATCATTCTTGCAATCATTTGGAAGGCCTGTTCTCCAAATTGTGCATTTTGGAGAAGGAACATTCCCATTATTGCAATAATGGGGCCCACTTGCAGGATGGCAAGACGTGGCCTCAGAAGGATGGCCACGCCTTGAATTGGCTGGTTGCTCCTGCAGTTGCAGGAAAAAGCAAAAAGTAAGTGGATGGGGGGGGGGCAAACATCCCAGATGTGATGAGGCACTCCACTTAATGGCCCCCAAAAAATCACTTAACAACCACAACTATTAGTTTTAAATAGAAATAATGAAAAGCTGAGCAGTATCCTTTTATGGAACTTATCAGAACAATCGTAGTAGGAATGGAGCCAGTTGTTGAGCAGGTTTACAAATGAAACACTAAAGTTGCAAGATTCTTTTGCTAAAGGAAATCTCAGCTGAGATCCACTAGTTAAATTTAGAGTTACATAGAGAGAGATAAAATCTAGAAACAAAAAATCATGTTACTACCTTGTATGTTGCTAAGGAAAATTGATGGAGAAATCAGCCAAGATGGCTTCATTCTTCATAGAGGGGTAGTGTAGTCACAGACTGGTCCATGCAGTTTTGAGATATGCATGTTCAGATCTATTTGCTGTGAACTATAGCTGTTTAAAAGAGGAGGAAAATATGACCTATTAAAATTGTGGCAAACATCAAAAAAACCTGTTTGTTTTACATCAAATTTTAAAATATTACATTAATATTTTAAAAAGAGAGAGAATATGTATAAAAATAAATGGTGACTCATAGTGATCTGTTGTAAATGCAGTCTTTACAAGGTTGCACAGAAGGCTGATTTGGAAATTGAATTAATTATTAGGTTTCTATTACAATAATTGTAATGAATAATTTTTATACAGGATTTTTCTGTTCTTTATAGATTACAGCCCATATGGAACACACAGTGCATGGGGAGGTTCACCATACTCACCCCATCAAAATGTACCTTCTCAGGGACGGCTTGGTGACAGGTAGGGGATTTGAACTTGCACATGCTATACATGTTTTAAGTTTTCTCAATTAAACTGAGAAGCAAGAACAACAACAACAAAAACTTTTTCCCCTTCCAAACAATTATCTATCCAAAAAGGGAGAGATTATCTATGACAGACATTGCTAACCATGGGAAATCTTTGCCATCATCTGAGAGAGAACAGCAGCTTCGTCTTGAACTGCAGCAGTTAAACCATCAGATAAGTCAGCAGACACGAGGACTTGAGGTATGTATTCTTAGCTCTGTACTTTTTCTTAGAAAGAACTAGAGAAATGAAAAAGAGAGGGAGGCAGAGCAGTGTAAATAGATTTTTATATTGCATTCAAACGATGCCATAGAATTTCAGAATGAAGAACTCGCCACTGTTCAGTCATTTTGAATGTGATTTTAAAATGACAGTATTAAGGGAGAAATGGCTGGTACCATTGAATTCTGTATTCATTTGCATATAATATTTGTTCTTCTCCTATCCTCCCACACATATTCACAGACTTGAGATCCATAAATCTTATGTAATGAAAATCAGTATTATTGCTCTCTATTTTACTTCTCTTCATTTTTATAGTGTTCTTTGTGTTTTTTTTCCTTAATAGCAGACCAGATGATAGCTATACATAATTTATTGAGAGCTTATGAAAAAGGTTTATTTCTCAGGTTGAAAATTTAAATTTATGATAGTATAATGGACAGGAGTGTTGACTATAACCTATATTTATCCCAGAATATCTGTGTTTTCGCAAAAAGACAACATGAGGTAGCTTATGGTGAATTACTTTACTAATGAGCACCTTGAATTGTACCTGCAAGCCAACTAGTAGCCTGTGGAGCAGTGAATATCAATGCACATACCACAACATAGTCATTATTGCCCAGGTTGCTGCATTCTGAACCAACTGTAGCTTCTGGGAGGTCTTCAAGGGCATCCCTGTGTAGAATGCATTGCGGTCATCTACTTACAAAGTGTCTAGGTCCTGAGTGCCCATCTGGTGACCTTCAATTCTTGTGTTGCTGTTGAAGACAACACAAGTTGTGCTTAATTTGTGCATGCTGTGTTTGCTGGTGCTTAATGGAGGAGTATTGGATGGCTTAAAAATACCCACCTTGATATTAGTCTTCTTTATTATCATTAAACTTTTACTTTTTAAAATATATTTTAATTCATCGTATAAAAAAAGGAGAGAGTATACAATAATATTATAGCTCTAATGTACTAATCAAAATTAATCTTATATATGCATTAATGTCATATACAGAATAGAATAGAATGGGCTGGAAAGGACTTGGAGGTCTTCTAGTTCAGCCCCCTGCTCAAGCAGGAGAGCCTATACCATTTCAGATAAGTGACTGTCTAGACCAGGGGTGTCAAACTCAAGGCCCAGGAGTCAGATCCGGGCCGCAGGTGTTTAGATCTGGCCCGTGGAGCCGCCCTGGAAAAAGGAAAGGACCCACCCACGGTGCCTCTGCCAGTGAAAACAGCCCTCCCGAGCTCTGTTTTTGCTGGCAGAGGATTGCAGGAGGTTGTTGCAGCCGAAAACAGCTCGGGAGCCTGTTTTCGTTGGCAGAACGCTCGGGCCACCACAGGCACCCCCAACATGAGTGACATCAAGCTGGCCATGCCCACCCTGGCCCCCTGAGGTCAAACACAACCCTGATGCAGCCCTCAATGAAATCAAGTTTGACATCCCTGGTCTAGACTCTTCTTAAAAAGAGTCTGATGGAGCGCCCACGATTTCTGGAGGCAAGCTGTTCCATTGGTTAATTGTCCTCACTGTTAGGAAGTTTCTCTTTAATTCCAGGTTGCTTCTCTCCTTGATTAGTTTCCAAGCATTGTTTCTTGTCCTGCCCTCTGGTGCTTTGGAGAATAATTTGACCCCCTCTTCTTTGTGGCAGCCACTCAAATATAGTTAAGTCGCTAACATTTTAATCAATTTATTTGTTATAAGAGCATTATTTATTTATTTATTTATTATATTTCCTATTTCTTTATTGCCCATCTTCCTCAATTAAACATATTGGCATCTCTAGTATACTGCAATAGTTATTTCTTTAAGGCTTCAATCTTCAGTTTCTTTCTCCTGTCATTTGTTATAATAGACTGCAGTTTGTTTATCATTCTGATTGATTGATTACCCCAGACCTCTGTCTTGTCAATTGCAACCTATAAATACTAAAACTTGTATATAGGTATTCCTAAACTTACAACCATAATTGAGCCTGGTATTATGGTCATAAATCATGGCAGTTACTAAGTGAGTCACCACATGACCATGATCGATTTATAGCAGCAATCATTAAGCAAATCTGTGGACATTTTTTTGCTTGAAAACAGCTGAAAACCAAAAATTCTGGCCAGATGAGTGCAAGACGCTGCAAATGGCTGTAAATGCAAGCCAGTGGCCAAGTGCCCAAAATGCAGTCATGAGATCATGAGGCCGGCTTCAGAACTTTAAAAATGAATACTAAGCAGCTCTGGGGCAGTCTGTCATAATTTCGAATTGTTGCTAAATGACTGGTCATTAAGCAAGGAGTACTATATGCAAGTTAGATTTCCTAGCAGTGGTGTAATCAGGATTATCAACAATAAAAATTTTATTCAAATATAGAAAAAGGTAAAATTTTGTAGCTCATTATAGAGTTGATAGAAATACTATATTAGAGTACTGATATTTTTAATGATTAAAAAGTGCATATTATCATCTTATTTTTCAAACTATTGCAGTTCATTTTTATGAAGAATGAAATCAGTGAATCTTCCAAGACAAAATTAATTAACAGTAACATAAAATATTAAAACAAAATGGTCTTCCCCTAGATAGAAGACTTCCCTCCCGATATTCTAGAATATTTAATTTATTTAATTTAATGAACCATTTTCTAGCAATATTTATAAATATTTTAAAAATTACACTCTACACAGGTTCTACAAAGGATTGCCTGGCTATTTTTATTTTTGGATTCTCCAGAATTCTCAATTTACCATGTTAATGACATTTAAATAGTATGATGTACACTAGTATGCCTTACTGTACAATAATTATTATCCATTAGATATCAATACTATCTATGTATTAGACAGTCCTATGCTGTCTTCCAGATCAGATTTTCCAGACAGACATTTTAAAATTATATATTATATTAGAGTTCCCCAACCTTTCTGGCTTTACGGACTGATGGGGTGGGTGGGGAATATAGAGGGGATGGTTCTGCACGAGCAGCTGTACTGCATGCACAGCTCCATTTGCATGAGTGGCATGTATGTGTGCCTGCCGCTCACAAACGAAGCATCAAAAGAATTCCAAAATTCACCAGGAAATTCCTCTAAAATAAAAAGTATGGTTTTATAAAACTTAGAAGTGTACATACTTTAGCCACTAGATTTCTAATTTAAGTTTGTCTTCATCTGTTTTATCTTAATGTGTTGTAATTTTGAGCAGTATTGTCTTATGTGTCTATAAGAGCAGCATAGAAAGTATAAATAAATCAGCCATTTTTTTTTTATAATGAAGAATGTTGGGCATTAGAAGCCAAGCAATATTCCTGCATTTTGGCCTGATTCCCATATCTGCATGGTATATTTTGTGCGCTCAGTTGTGTATGTGCTTGGCTTTGTGCATTTAGGCGGTTAGTAACAGGCTGCTGTTGCAGAGGGAAGCGACCCCTTTGGCAGGCCAACCACAGCCCCCACCGCCACCTCCTAAGTGGCCTGGAATGATCTCAAGTGAACAGCTGAGCTTGGAGCTGCACCAGGTGGAGAGGGAAATCGGGAAGAGAACCCGGGAACTAAGCATGGTGAGTGTTTCATAAGGTGGGCAGAGAAGCTGCTGCTGCTACTGCTGCTGCTGCTGTTTGGAGAGTTGCAGTGTTAACTGCACTCACCATTTCTGAACAAGAGTCATTTATTTTGAATATTCAGAGCTAGTAGTTTATAGGTTTTTGTTTTTCTACAAATTTAATTTTGCAAGCTACCTCAGTTGAAAGTATGCAAGCACTCAAATTTACAGCAAATAATCCATCCTCTTAAGCATCTGTTATGTTACAATCTGCACACAATACTTTTTAAATGGCATTTGAAAAGGGGATGGTGATTTTTCCAGCCCATGGTGATAGACCTCCTTGGTCTCTGCTGCTTGCACATGTGTTGGAAAGCTTTCTAGCCTGATAAAATAAAACAGCTTGGTCTAAGATTATGTTCCTTTGTTTGTAGCTTTTGTGTGAGTATGTAGAGCTTGGCTTGGTGCTTCATAATTTCTTCCCACTCGTAAAGCAAACTTACAGTACATTGTGAACCATGGATTTGTCTTTCCTTTCCCAAGGAGAGCCAGTCTTCATTGGATGTGAAAAACAAAGCAAATGCTAGTAAACAGACTGAAAATGGACAGCAAGGCAAAGTACCACCTGAAGATCTTTCTCTAACATTCAGGTAATAGAATTATTTTTATTGGTAATTTAATTCAAACTTAAATATTACATAGGGTACAGTTATTTATATTTTATGTATTGACATTGTTTTACTTTATCTGCTAGTGTTTAAAAGTTTCAGTGTTTTCCGAATGGCAGTAGTCAGGACATACAACACATGTCTGACATTTCTCAATAGGTGTTTCTTTCAGTGATAGTGCTGGTTCCTTCCAAAGATATTCTCCAAATCATTGTTGGTAGTCAACCAGCACAGCAGTCTTAGAATATTATAATACTATTGACAGTGCAATCATCTAGAACTGACTTAACTTTTACAGAATTTCTAGATTGAACTAAAATAACTTGATACCACAGCAGAACATGCTCATTGTGCCAAGTTTGATAAACTCTGTTTTTGCAATGGTGGGAAGGCAATTAAAAAAAAAAAATCTTGAGGTAACAATGTGTCAAAGGTATATCAATCAATCAGTCTTTATTTCAGTCACAGTCCAGCAAATAAAACCATGAAAACAATAATAAACGACAAACAGAATAATATATTGCAATTAGCTGTGGATTAACAATGAGCAATTAGTTTGTCCAATTTTACATATATCACAGCAGAATTTGGCTACTTTCAGAGAAACTACTTCATACTGATCTGATAACAGTATTTGCCTGTAAAAAAAAGACCAGTATTTACTAGGTAAGGTATTATAAATTGAACCTGTGAGTCCTTATAAAAGATGCAGTATAGCAGGACGTGAGTTATAGTTTCAATGGCCCATGGTCCACAGGGGCAGAGTCTCAGCTCATATGGTATTTTTTTGTATCGGCCCTCCAAAACTGCTATGGGAAGCACATTGCAGCATGCTAAGGTTAATGGCATTCAGATTTTTGGGGTGGTTATTTGATATAAATATCTAGCTGCTTTAAATGGGGCACTTTGACTGCTTAAAAAATATTCTTGGAAAGAGCAGTCCAATCTTGTTGTATTTCCAGAACTTTAATAAATTGTTTAACTGCGCTAAGTGCACACTCATCTACATCTGTCAAAGATATAAACATTAGATTACCTTTGCCCAATTATTGCTTCTGTTCATGCTTACTAGGATAATGTGCTAGAGACAGAGTTCTAACAAAACTATCCTACTTATACTTGTGGAATGTCCCAGATGGTGATGGAGATGTCCAAGTACTGTAGGTGCAGCTTTCTGTGGTTAATGAAGAATGTGAATTTAAATAAGGAAACCCACAAACTGCAAGCAGAACCCTTTGAAAATGTATCTTCTACCTATAGATCATCTCAGTTTTGATGGTTTATTATTCTCCAGACAGAAAATCTTGTTTTATGGTCCAAACCACCAGGCCTGGAGGAAAAATTAGAAATTGGAGATTAGCAGTTTAGAATTAATCTGAAGATGGAGATTATAGACTGAGTGGATAAAGGTATTATGAACATTAGATTATTCCTAGCGGAGTGCAAAAATAATGAGATTTTGTAAAATATTACTAACGTTGGAGATTAATTTTTGCTTAGGGTTTAGTGTCATACTGATCCTGCTACATACTAATTCAGAGGGTCATCTGAAATAGCTTAATTATATCCAATGTCTTTTCTCGGTTAATCTTTTTTCTTTTTTTCCCTCCATCACTTCATTGTTCCTTTTCCTTTTTGACACTTATTACTCAACAGTGATCTTCCAAATGGATCTGCCCCAACCCAAGAAATTATAGGCCTTCTGTCAAACAAAACTACAGCTCTGAACTTGTCAGAGGACACCGACGCAGTAGCAGGTGACCAGGATACCCAGAGAACCGGAGCAACGCCCACCTCTGCTCCTTGAAGGAACAAAACTATCCCTCCACTTCTGTCGGGGGTCACCTTTTCCCATCCTTGGATTGATGAAAGACGCTGAGCAAAAGTCTTCAACAATAGCAAGTCTGAGACAATGTGCACAACACCACTACTAGGAACAAACCCTGCACATAGTTCACATTAACACATTTTTTAATTAAAAAATGAAAATTAGCAGTATCTGCAAACAACTCAAATTAAATTTGTTTTTGTTCTGTGAATGAACTTTATTTTAATAACTTTGGATGCCTTGAATGCCAGGGCTTTAAAAGAAACAGATATTATATATATATATATATATATATATGTACACACACACACAAACACACACATTTTACACACAGAGACACACATACTTTGATTAATTGTATGATCTAATGGGATAGGCTTTCTGTTTTATTTTGGTATTATTACATACCCAGTGTATCATTAACTTTTCTAGATGTTCATTCTCCCACCAGAACAAGCTCATTCACCATTTCTTTTTGTAGTTTCTAAAAATAAAAGAAGGAGTTGAGATGGAAGAGAAAACTCTAAATTGTCCCAAATCTGTATCTCTCTTACAGATACTGTTGTAACTTTTTGTTAATTTAAGATTGTGAAGGATTTACCATTGCATTAGAAATCAAACTTTTTTATTGGACACCGAAAGCTTCAAGGAGTAGCAATACTTATTCCATTTTAAAAGTGACTGGAAATGCATTCTTTATAAACTGGCTAAGAAGCATTGATTTGTGACATTTGTGACATAGAGCAGAAGTGTTTCATTTGCATAAGTAAGCTTAACCCCTCCCCCCCCAAAGAACTGGATTAAATCAGAATCTAGAAACTAGTATAAAATGTCTTCAGATGGGATAAAGGTGCAACGATTAGTGTAGTATCTTCTTTCACATGTCTGAGCTACAATTTCTGTATCATCCTATATCCTTGGAGGAGGCAGGCACATTAGATTCTCTGATGCAAGAGAATTTTGGAATCTGTCTGAGGTGCAAGGTGATAAATTCTATTTTATATATGATGGAAAACATAAAATTGGTTGTAACAATATTCTCCTTCCTGTTTATTTTGCATCCAAAGCTAATAATACCATGATTGGTCAGCATTATCTTTCATGACAAAACTGAATATTTGAAACTCAAGATTTTTGAGTTTAACAAAAAAATGGTTCCGAAAAAAAAATCATGTTAATTTCAGCAAGTCCATTACAGAAGCAGCAACCTTTCAAGTGTGTATGAAATGAAAAGACTTCTTAGCTCTGCAAATGCACATTCATTTATCACATTTCTTAAACTGCACAGATGTGATCATATATACGCATGCAAATTTGACTTTTGTCCTCCTCCTCTCCATTTTATTGGCATTAAGTAAGGTGCATATGTGGAAAATCTGGAAGAAAATTCTTGCATCCTTTCTCTGTAAATTACATTTTTAAATTTCAAAATGCACTGGCTATGTAATAAGTTGAAGCATTGCTTTGATCGGGTAAAAGCAAATGTTTATTAATCTTGTTCTAGATTACTTTTCTTCCCTTAAAATCCATTGAGGTTAAAACATCCTTTTATATCCATTTTATTCTTAAATAAAATATGTTGTGAGCATACAGGCCCCCTGTTGCCTACCAGTAGGAAGAGTCAAAATAGAGACATTTGCAAGTACTGATTATTTATTATAGTTACCTAGTCAAGGTGTTGCATTTTTACATTATTTTACAACCTGGCTGGCCAAAAAACTAATGCCCACATTGCCTTGGGATTTGAGCATTCATTTAAAGAAAAAACTAAAATATGTACATGTGTGTATGCTTACACATAAGTATATGCGTGCACATGTTCATTTTGTGTCTGTGTACATAGATATTTAAGGATATTTCCTCACGATTACCGCTATTTTAAAGCATCCAGGACTTGGAAGCACTCTGTGTGGTGTGTCTTTGTGTATGTATGTATGTGTATGTATATGTGTTCATATACGTAAAAACACACATACATACACACACTCCCTCTCTCTTTTAAAAGACATTTTAATTCTCTCTTCTTTGATTTATTTAATTCTGTATAAAGAACTTTCTCTTCTTTTCATACTACCACCCAGTCTTTCACTCTCTTAGAAGAAAGAGAAAGATAAACTTCGCTTTTCTTTAGGTTCTCACTTAATGTTCTTTATGTACTCTGTTATATCTTTCCTATCTTTCTTTCTGAAGTAAACTAATGTCATGGCATAATTAAAGAAAGTTTGCTTATATAAATTGTTTTTCTTGCCATGTCTCCAATATAAGAAGTCTTTTTAGTGAATCAGGCTCACTATTCCAATATAAGGCCATTCTTAAAGGTGTTCTCTTCCAAAGAAAATCCAACTTGGAATAACAGAAAAATTGGCTTCCATCTAGATATGCCAAGCAGACTTGTTTCCTACAGGAAATTTTCTGGCTAAAGAAAGGGAAGACTGAACATTTTTCATACATTTAACTATATATGTATCAGACATAAGTATGGAAGAGTTGGGATTGTAATTACAAAACCATCCCCTCTTACATTAATCCATTCTTTAGACCATTTATAGCACGTCTGTGCCTCTAGATATTGTATATGCATAGGCCCATATTTTGTACACATGCATATTCTTCATGTTGTACATACGATTATTTTACATATGTACATGTACATATGTTCATAAAGCACTAGGCAAAAAAGTGTGTGGAAGATGCTGTTGTTAACATTGAGAAATCTCTGCTATAAAATTAAATGCTTTGAATCTGAGCTAACAAGACCTCCCATTATTTTCCTGTAGTTGTACTTTGCGCACAGTGCCCTATCTAGGTTAATGCCCTTTATGCATAAGCAAATAGTTTCTGTTTAATCTTTGCAGAGCACTTTGATCTTGGCTTAGTTTCCTGTTTTCTTTTTTAGGTTCTAAAGGACGAGTTAAAGTGATGAGCATATAAAGAACTGTCTGACTTTCATAGAGAACAATCTATAATACTGTATTCTCAGGTGTCTTTTTAAAAAACTAGCTTTTTCAAGTCCATGTGTTAAAACCTCATAAAATTTCTATTTGGGAGCAGAATTCAGGTTGATGTGGAAACAATGACACTTTGGTCTTATAAAGCCATCCTCATGAACCTTGGCATTAGCTTTACATTCTAGATTTTGATTTTTTGCAGGCCTGAAAAATATTTGCCTTCTGTCCATTAGAAAAGAGGAAACAAGCCAAATACATATGCATGGCTGTGTTATGATCATAACTGAACTCTTAAATATCCTTCACTCTTCATTTAGACTGCTTGTGGAGCTATAATACATTTTTCTGAGAATTGTTGAATGACATTCATGGTTATGATCAATATCTTTTTTCTATAGAATATCAATATCACTCTCATCCAGCTCTGCTATACATAATAAAGAGCAGTATGTTATTTTTTAAAACATATTTTATTTTAAACTTGGCTGGAATACACTGAGTTGTATGAAATAGGTTGTTCTTTATATTAGGATGCTATGGCATCATAAGCAAAACTTGTATTGTGTACTTAAATTAAAAGATATTTGAGAGATACTAAAATATTTAACCTCAAGCACGTTTTATGAAGGATTTAGGTCATTTTTAAAAAAATAAAGCAAAAGCCCAGGTTTCAGAATATCAATTCAGTAATACTTAATTCAGTGCATGCAACTCAGACTTCCAGATTAAATGTGTTTGGCTAATTAGGACCTGCGAGATCCATTTGAACATTGCTTTTTAAATTTCTGCTTCTTGTCTCTACATCTCTCCTTTGTATGTTCCCATCACCCTCCCTCTTTCATGCACCAGGTAACAGCATGTTGCCTCAAAATAGAGCATTCAGATGAATTTGAGTACCCAATAACTTCTATGAAGTTGCATTTCCTTATGGTGTTATTACTCAGTGATGCATAAATGTGGTATTGCCCCTACTTGTAGGCAAATGAGGGGTCTGTATAAATATGGAAAATACCCTATTCACTTAAGGAGAGCCAAAGACTTGTGCTTTACTCTTGGTTTGATTGTTGTTGTTTTTTCTTTCTATTTTTTTCTAATCATTTTACTACAATAGCCAGTTTGGATTGAAAATCTTTTATGTTTTCAAACCTTAACAGTGGTAAATAGATATAAAAATTCTTGACTGTCAAGTCTTACAAAATGCATTCTATGATGATGACTTATTAGCTCATTTCAGAAGTGCTATGTTAAGCATCATTACATTTGCAGCCATTTACCTTAATTACTTTACCTTTTAAAAAGATATGTGAATGTTGTCCCAACACACTTAGATTTATAATGTACAAAAAGTGTTTTTAGAAGAAACATTGTTTATTTTCACTGTTCCTGCTTGAAATTTTCTATTGAACTGTACTAGAAGTAAGTATGAGGAAACTTGAAAGAAACTGGAGAGAGATTCTGAAATAGCACTATCAGTCTAATATGTTTTCATAGTCAAGTAAATTGTTTCTTTACATTTGGCTGTGGACAATACATTGCACTGTTGCTTGGAAACACAACAAATAGTAACCTATTGTCTGCTTTTCCAAACCTATACAGAAATTTCTCTGGATAGGAATCACTAAACACATCCACGATCTCAGCAACATAATGTAATCAGAAAGCAGTCTTGTTTCCTAATTCTGTCCACTTGGTAAGCATGGACTTTATTGAAGCAAATAGTCCCAGAGAGAGCCTCCTCCAAATTATGCTTCCAGTGTTACAGTAATTATGAACTGCAAATCTTGAACTATATTTGCCAGGATGTCGTTTGACATTTTGGCTCCAGCCTCAGATCTCTCATATGCTTTCAAAATCTTGCTGTTATTATGAACAGGACATCTGCTTTACTGTACAGCAATTTGTGGGGAGGGGGAGACAAGCAGTTGAAGAACTGAGTTGGAAGTCATGCCGGTGCCTACTTCTTATCCATCTCAAAATACTAAGAAGGATGGGCAAAAACGTCTCCAGATTTTGACAGTCCCATCTAGACAAGCTATTTACTTTGTGTGTTTTGCTATCACACCTTGTGGCATCATTTACTAATATGAGTGAGAATTTTAACAGTATTTTCTTTTAAAATTCTCACTAATACTGTTGTCAGTAACATAGATTCATATACATATCCAGTCTCTGAACTGATTTAGCTGGAAAGGACACTTGATACAAACAGGGAAGCACTTGAAGATGTCATCGATATTTGACACACACACACACACACACCCAAAAAAACCCCACCCTAAGCTGTAATTTGATGTGACTAGAATGAGCCACTGTGAGCACTGAGCATTTACAGTATGTTTCCCCTAGAATAGTTAAGAGTTCACAATATTTTGTTTTAGATTTAGTACAAATTAACATGTCATCTAAACCTAGATTTTTTTTTGTATTAATTTCAAAATAATTTATAAAGTTTGTTTGTTTCAAACAGTGATAAGATGAAGCACAGTTTAACCACTTAACCACCTAATCAGACAACATGGTGAATCAAATGCAGAAGTAATCTTATTTCATGTCCAGAAGAGAAATTAATTGCATTTAATGAAAACACAGTTGAAGTTCATTCTAATAGCACTAAATCATGGTTTCACATTAAATATAGTCATTCAAATGACAGTACTGGAGTTCCCTTGTCCAGGCCTCCTATTTCAGTGTGGTACATATCACAAGTAAACAACACATACTTGTTTCATCATAATACACACAATAAAAAACAGTTATAAATAAAATAAGTTGCAGATTGCCTTAGCCTATAGACCAATTCCTGTGTCATCAAATAGTCATGATGCAATCATGGGAGATGAATAGGAACTACTTACATCTTTTTGTGGAAGCATGATTTAACTTTTTTTTTTTTGCTACAGAACAGATATCACCCCAAAATTATAAGTCTTTATTAGGTGCCATTTGAAGTTCAAAAAAGTAGCTCCATTTTTTCTAAGATCTGTTGTGCAATATTCAGATATTAGACAGTGTCTTTTTTCATCAAAACAGTCCAGAGATTGGTATCTGTGTCGCAAGATTAATAAGGCTATGTAGGTACGCTCAGTATAACACCAAGAAGTGCCATTCTCCTTTTATAAAATTTGCAGTGAGATTTCTATGTTGTGTTGGATACAGTAGTCAATGCCCAAAATGAAATGTTATAGCTGGGACAATTGCATTTTGACATCTGTATGAAATTTAAAATTTGGAACAGTGAACCTTCATTGTGTTGATAGTGTCTTGAATAGCTATAGTTACCATTCAGTGGCTGCAGAGCTTCTATTCTGGTATCTAATATTACTTGCCTGCATGTTACATATGGCTGCCTGATGCTTTTTTCACATATAAAAAGTATCTTGTCTGAAGACATAACATACTGAAGGGAGGAGTCTAGAAGAACACACCAAAGTGCATCCTTCTCTCTAAAAACTAAAAGTACTAGGTATGCTAATGTTAAATGTATACATATATATATATTTTATAAAAACAAAATCCTGTGGCATATTGGTGTTTGCTGTAAACAAAATTTGTTTGCTTTTGTGTATGTTAAAAGTGACTTCAGGCACAATTGTAGTGGGAATGTCTTCCACACAAATCCCTCTGAAAGTGTGGGATATGTGCAAGAAGACCACCTCTGTGCTCTCTTGTTGTTAATGTTAGTTTGTTGTAGCAGACAATACTCACAAGTCTTTGGCATCCAAAACCAGATTGTGTAACTGGATCAGAATCCCACAGCTGGATTTGCATAAGGCACTCTTTCCAAGTTAGCCATTCAAAGGGAGGTACAGAGGTGGAGAGCAGGATGGGCAGACCTAATGAAAATTGTCTGTTTGGCCAGCTGTCTTGGCAGCCCTCAGTTCTAATCCTGCACAACCCCCTAAAGGGTTTCTCTGCTGTCTGTTGTGAGTTTACAATTGCCTTGCAGTCTCTGCTTGCTATGTAAGCAGCCTTGTTGCTAACCATGAACCCTTTTCCTTGAAGGCAACTTTAGTTTTGTTTTGTTTGTTTTTTTAATTAGTTTTCAAGGATTGGCAGTCAGCAATCTGGATTTTGCTCCTTATTTTTATTCAGCCAATTTGACATACATTATTCTCCCTCCTCCAAAATCTCCTGGTCATTTCCAGTTGTGGGATTTCTCTCTCTGTATGTGCATTCTTTATGGTTTGGGGGGGTGTTAAGCCAAGTTTCCTTTGGTCTTTTTAGGATTGTACCAGTCTCCCCGAGACATTCTTAAGTCATTATCACCTTTTTGGGTGGAGTTCATTTTTTTTAATAACTTTTTTGACATTTTGGTGCATTATGCTTGGGATAGAGCTCATGTAATTTACCAATCGTATTGATTGTATGTGATTGTGCCCTGCGGAGGTATATTTAACAAAAAAAAAGAAAAGAAAAGAAAAAAAGAATTAGTCTAGGGTGATGCTGATGATAATAAAGATTCCAAGATACTACGTAAAAGGTGTGGGTGATTTTGTGAATTTGCTTAGATTTATCTGTTGGTTAGTATTATAAAATGTTTATTCCTTTTCTCTGGCCTTTGCCTTCCTTCTGCTAGTTATTTAATGTTCTCAGTGTGAAATATACTGAGAAATGACTGTTCCAGGTTTGGAAGGGTGTGCTGGTGTGGTATGAGTATGGCTGGGCAAATGTGCCCTACAGAGTGCAGGCAGGGAGGTGCTGGTGTGGGAACATGCTACAGAGTACAGGATCCCTGAGATCTTTTACTTCTTAGCTGGACTTCTCAGGAGAAAAAGTAGCAGAAGCAATTTTGGGAAGCGATTTGGAACCTTCTTTGCCAGCTTCCCTGCTGACTGCTTATGGGAAACAGCCAGAAAATAATGATTACGTGACCACAGGACACTGCAGCCATTGTAAGGGCAAGCCAATTGCCAAGATCCAGATTGCAATCTCATGACCATGGAGGTACTGAGCCAGTCAGAACTTAAAAGACCATACCATTTGTTCCGCACCATCAAACTCTGAATGAGTAATCATTAACTGAGTTCTGCTTACACTCCTTTCATGAAAAAACAAGTTTTTCACTAGAACAGGTAAAACATAAGAGAGTTTGTAGCTTTTTGCTTGTTTTACACTTAGTATAACCAATACTGTCAGACTGAGAGCCACTAATATGAGGTATAAAGCAGGAAAAATAACCAGGCTAGGACAACTAAGAAGAACAAAATTTGACTTTAAAACAGTTACTGTGATAGAATGTTTTCTTGCTCCTGCTTCCTTTTTGGAACTGCCTCAGGCTCTTAGCTCCTATATCTAGTTTCAAGGCTCATATGAACTGTAAGTATACAAAAGAAAAACAATTCTACTAATCCTTTCACTTTTTGGGATTGACTTTGGATTGACTGTAGATAACCAATGAAGTTGAATAGGGTTAGGTTTTGGGCAATATACAACAGGGTAAAACAAACCAATACACAGTAACAATAATTTAAAGGATAAAAACGGAAACAGATGCTTGGAAAAGCCCCACATGCCAGTTAGCTGGATCCAAAAGCTCATAGAAACAAATGTTTATAGAGACTTTTTGCATGTAAGAATATAATGTTTTCTGAGCCTTTGGATAACATTCCATAATATAGGTAACCGTATAGGAAAGGCTGGCAGCTTTATTCAAGTCCCATGAGCTATGCAAGAAGAGATTTTGCCTTAAATTTATTGACTTAAACAAAAAACTTGATCTTGGAAGTATTTCATTTGAGCCTATTTTATCCATCCAGATACTAACAGCCTACACATTTTCAGGCAGTCCATAGTTTCTCCGGCTCAGCCTGGATGTTGATGCAACTTTGAGTGTGATTACTGTACTTGAGATCCTTCACCTCGGACCAATGGATGATCTCACCCAGAAGCTTCATATAGGTGCTAAATAACAGAGTATCTCTGTACAGTACAGTATCTCATGTTGGAAACACTTTCCTATGAGTACTAACCAGAACTGCCCACTCAATTGAAGTGGAACTATATAGAATCATAGCATTGGAATAGACCTTAGAGGCCATCTTGTTCAACCCTCTATTTAGTGCAGCATCCACAGCATCTTTGACAAACTGCCACCCAGCCTTTGTAAACTCTTTAACACATGGTGTCATAGCTAGCCTACAATTGGTACAATCAAGTTCTTCCTTAAGTCAAACCTCAACCCATTTCCTTGGAGTTTTAACCAACTGATCCTGTACCTGTTAAAACACTCTTGAACCTTAAATAAAAGTCCACTCCATCTTTGGTGTGACAACCCTTCAGATATTTGAAGATTGCTATTCTATTTCCTATTAACTCTCTTGTAGGCTAAATGTCCACATCCTCTCTCACACAGCCTCATAAACAGATTCAACATATGTCCATCTGTGTGTGTGGTGGCCAAGATTGCTTGCAACAAGCCCATATTTACCTCCTCTCATGACATGGGGATTACATAATCTAAAAGCAGAAGCCTCAGGAACTCCTCAGCATTGGCCCTGTGATTATATCCCAAGAGCTTGTGAATAGCCCTACAGTAGGAGAGCAGCATTCCAAAATGCCATGGAAGGGCTCATATACCGTTTCCTGAAATGTCCCTTAACCTTGATTATGGTTTGAAGCATCGCAGTAGTTGATTTCTTCATGCAGAATTTGGCACCATGTTCTTTCCAATGCAAAAGCTTATGAAAACCAATTTCAGATGTTCCTCTTCCCATTTTCCAGTAATTGGTAAGGTTACTCTGAGAAAGGGGGGAGGGGTTCTCCTGTATCACTCTCCTTTTAATAGTGACTTGCATCATGCTGAAGCTTCCCAGAAATCAGTGTTGCCTTCACTGAGCAGCATTATGTGATAGCTATGCCAAGAGAGAAAGAGGGATGAACAAAGGCATAAAAGATGACTGCAAGAGGGACACTTTAAGGGACAAGAGACACAGTTGGCCAAGAGCTCTGGCAATCCCAAAGACACAGCAGGGAGAGTGCCCTGAGATATCCTGTGCTTTCGCAAAGCAGTGTGATTCTAGGAGCTAGAAATCAGGATCTACCAGTAACTTAGTGGACTCTGGGCAGGGGAAATAGCATAAATGAGCCTTTCTTGAGAGGCTTAACTACCATCTCATTCAAACATTCTCCAGAAATGCACTCTTGTATTAGATGCAGCATATACAAAAATTACGTTGGTTTGTAGTCATACAAGGAAAGATGCTCTTGCAGAATACACAGCTGGTAGCAGATTCTAATTCAGGCTGCTGTAAAGGCCCCCTTTGAGGCATTAGGGGAAATGCCTGATAATAAAAATCACAAGTAGGTTGTCTTCAGTAAAACTACCTTTCTTCCTTTTTTTCTACCATGTTTTCACTGTTGCTACATTCCACCAAAGAACTTGAAGCTAGGTCTTAAGTGGTCATTAAAATCATTAAAATTGTAGATATGTCCCTAATAAATGCCTCTCACCCACAAGCCCCATTTCAATGGATTATAATAATTTCTATGGGACAAGTATCTTCCCCCTCCCCCCCCCAAAAAAACCCCACTTGATTTCAATTTAATTTAAAAGTGTTGGGTTTTAGCCTGCTTTCTTTATTTATCTAGGCAAAATAATAATATCTAGCTATATATAGAATAAAAAAGACATTCAAGAGACTATTTTATGCTCAGCTATGAATCCTTTAGCAACCAGGTGTTTTGTTTATGCTCAAGTGTAACCACAGAAGTGTCCAGGTGGGTGGGCGGAGCCTCCCGCCACTGCTGCTACCAGTTCGCCCAATGCGGGGCAAACCGGTAGCAACCCATCACTGCACCAAGCAAAGAAGGGTGAAATTGACCAGAGGTCTGGCTGGGGCCTTTTTCTTTTCCCCAGAGTCAAATAGAAGAGCCAGAAAGCTACTTGATGTAGGTATGGGTTGGTTTTTCATACCGAAGAGCCTTAAAATGGAAGTTCCCCAAAGATACACTCCAAACTGTAGAGGGTATGAAGAGACAATTGTGGCTGCCCTTCTTCAGGAGACAGTGGAAAGCTGGTAGGAAACTGGGCTCAGAAACTCAATATTTTGTAAAATGAAGTTTTAACTGTGCTTGGAGTACCAGATCTGAGCTGCAACAATCCTGACAACCAATAGATGGTAGCAACATGTTACAGATCTAGTAGTCATAAGCATCTTGGAGGTTTCAGTACACTGGGAGTGGGGGGTGGGGGAGGGGAACGGAAGGGAGCATTTAGAACTTCTGTCAACCTAGCACACTATCCTTGTGTGGAACTACCCATTGTTAAAATCCTTGAAAGATGCAATGGGAGCCTGGGCTGAAGTGTCTCTCCCCCTCCTTAACCCAGTCATACGTCCCCATTGTTCTCTCCACTATTTCTTATCTGCAGGCTCTGACCTCACCAAGGTGTACTTTAATCACTGTTTCTGGCAAAGGGCTGGAATTCTAAGTCCAGCACTCCTCAAAAGGGACCTTCAGAAAGCACCATTGTTTGCTTTCGCCCCCAAGAATTCTCTCCAATCTAACAGGAATAAGTCTTAAAATCTCTCTTGGTTGCCAAACGAAGATTATGTGCAGCAAAGAAGGTAACTTCCTTTTCAATGACTGTTTTCTCATTGGGTTGGGTCTCTGCCATATGTGTGGCATGTGTCCTCAGGTTGAACATTAAAGCTGCTCTCAGAATAAACATTGCTTTGCTCCACTATTTGTTTAACTTGCTTTTTGAGATCAGTGGCCTTTGACCTTCATGGCTTTCCCACCCCCTTTCCTCTTTCCTTCTCTTGTTTTGGAGCTGGTTGAGGAGAGTACGACTGGGCAATAAGCTCCATCAGAAATATTCTACGGATTGAAATGGTTTTTTGCCTAAATTAACAATTCAGCCCTTTGAACATCCTACGCTACTGGAAAGAATAACTCAAGAAAGAGGTAAGAAATTTCAGATATTTATTATGCAAAGAAAACAGAACACCATGGTAGAAGTATGTGATTATCTTCACTAGAAAAATAGGGATTGGTTAACAGAATGGGAAAAAAGAATATAATTTTCCATATTCTTTCACAAAGTTTATTGTGTTTCATCTGGCATTAAAGGTTTTCAATGAGAAATCTCAGTATCTTCTTATGTGGGACCAATCCTGAGTGAAGTAGCAACCTTCTTTGGTAACAGGTTTTAGGGAAACATTAAATGGCCATGAGTAGTCAGTTATCTAGCTTATTATTACATTTTTCTCCAGAATTATTTAAACATTCAAACTTTGGGGCTGTTTTTAAAAAGAATGTTGGGAGGTGCTTGCTAGAAACCAAGAGATGGTGAGTTCTAGTGCCACTTTAGGCATGAAAGTCTCTCTCTCTCTCAGCCTAACCTACCTCACAGGGTTCTTGTTGCAGGGAAAATAGGAGGAAGGAGTATCAGGTATGTTTGTTACTTAACTCAAATTAATTTACTGAGTTACTTAACTCAATAAAGGCAGGATAGAAAAGGCTAAATCTAAGATTTTCTTCTGATAGTTCTAGAACTCAAGACAGTTTAATGGAATCTGATATGGTAAATTACAGGGCAGTCAAATGAAA